TGCTAAATAATTCTTTTGTTCCTGTTGCTGACGCAATGCAGGACGTCATGCCTCCTAACGGCGAAGTCGACAATACCCCGTACGTTGCTGGCAATGGTGTCCCCGCGGGAACACCATTGCACCGGCCGGTGCAGCAGCGGCAGTACCAGCTGCCACTGCGCCCGGCGCCTTACATGCCGCCTGGCCGTGGTTCGGTTGCGAACCACGTTACAGCCTTGGAACGATCCATCGAGGAGACAAATTTGTCAATATGGCATATGGCATTTAATCATTATTTAGTAATTTTGACAGTTTAGAATGGAACAAATCGTGAACACATTGCCAGCATATGACCATTGGGAACATGACCGAGTTTACACACAGGAGGGGCAATTCATGATTGGTCATGCCGCATAAGGAGCATGACAACTATCATGACCATGACTATGCTTCATGACCGGTAGCATGACCGGTCATGAGGCCTCATGAGTGGTCGTGAGGCCTGATGACCGGGTCTATGACAGGAAAGCCCCCATATGACCACATCCTGGCTCGCATGCTTGAAGACAGATTTGCGCCAAGAAGTTTGCTGTCCAGACGGGACCCCTACCACCACCTCTCAATCTGCGTTCGGAAGCTATTTGTAAAACCATTATACAAGTAGCTGCTGCGCTCATACCTTGTACTGCTGCTGAGCTTGTTCGACAACATTTTGGATGGAATGATTGAACAGGAGGCAACAACACTACTTCTGCAAGTACACCTTAGGGGGCCCTACTGTGCCGGGGGCCCTTAGCAGGACTGAAGCACAGTTCAAGACGAGGCGTGTGGATATGTCTGCTTGTCTGAACGAAGGAATGAATGAATGAATAGAGCGGGTGTTAAAATTGTGAGCGACTTTCCATGCACAGACACCTTTGGTTCTGGTCGGTTCGGGTGATGGTAACTTTTCACACATACACACACAATGAATGTATGGGTGAATGAGTACGGAGTACGGTAACAAGGCGTGTGGGGCTCCTGCCACTTCCTGTCCCATATGGGGCAGGAAGTGGCAGGAGCCTCACACGCCTTGTTACCGTACAAGCATGTACGGATTTGAAACCAACAAACACACGAGAGATATTTGTAAGTGCTCCCCTTGTTTCGTAAAGTTCCTTCAACTCCCGCAATTCTGAATGCGTGCCTGAGAGTTTGGGGGCAGACCCTGCAATTGGTCTAAATTGCTCGGTAGAAGGGTTGAAATTGGCACCTGGGACAAGTTGAATTGCCGGGACAGGCCCTTGAATTGGCCTGACAGGGATACGAATTGGCCTGGCAGGGACATTCCGACAGTCAGAATTAGCCTGACAGGGATACGAATTAGCCTGGCGGGACATTCCGACAGCCAGAATTAGGCTGACAGGGTGTCGAATTGGCCTGGCAGGGACAGCGTTATTTTTTTGCGGAATATATTCCGAATTCGGAATAAAAAAATGTTCGTGGTCCTGAAAGTTAAGAATAAATAATGTTCCAACCGTACAAGTTCATTCCTCCAGCCAAAAATGGGATGTCCATGCCAAAGCCGCTAGAATCTTACAGGAGACATACATGTTAACCATATCATAGTACTTTAATGCCATTGATACTTTTAGGAAGCTCACGCCCGAAAGTCAACGAGGAATCGGACTGTTTCTGACCGGACCAAGCGCTGCAAAACATTCGGACCCGAAGCTCCCAAAGCATTGAAGGCCAGTAAAGCAGATACTAAATTTCACTGAAACCATTAGCGACGTTAATGAAGACGGTGTAGGGGTCGTAGGCAATGTGGACGCAATGCTGCAGCCAGCCGACGACAATGACGCCACTCCGATTGTCAACAGCGAGCGGGCCAGACATCAATGTTCCTCATATGGATACAATCGCGAGGGGCCAGGAAACAGGTTGCGTTTGGTGGTTCCGGTTCATTGCTGCTATGCATCATTACTTCTGCAAACTGGAAAGTCGTGTAGTGTTATCTTTCAACGTGATGCAAGACGAACGATGGTGAACGAACTCTATTCGATCAGTGCTTGAGAGATTGGTGTGCGCGTGTTGCGACATTCCCCAAACCCGGCGTTTGCACGAACTAAACTGTAACTCATGGGGGGGGGGGGTCTGGGGGGNNCNNANCCCCCCCAAGCGCCTCACAGATTCGGAATACCTTATTCCCGCGACTAAAAACCTATTCCTCCGTTCGGACTGGAAAATTAACCGGCAGAAATGAAAAAAATAACACTGGGCAGGGACATTCGGACAGTCAGAATTAGCGTGTTCAGGGTGTCGAATTAGGGAAGCACGGGAATTGTGCGACCGGGCAGTCAAAAGAATTGCTCTGCCCGACAGTGTGTCCTACCCTCTAGCCCACTCTTGGAGTGGACTCTTGGTTCCACTAACTGAGTGGATGTTCACTTTGATTACGGCCGATCGTTCAAAATAATTATATTAGCTACATGTAGCTACATACCTCATTCGTACAGATTTTTGTACAGTAAGAATCATTACGCAGCTTTAGGTAGGCACGGTGCATGGGGGAAAGCAGGGGCTGGCGAGAAATCGGGGATACGGACGCGCAGGCGGCAGGAGGCTAGGCGGGTCAGGAACACGTAAGGTCCCATTTCGGTCCCGCTGGGGCTTCGCGCGCCGATTCGCCGCAGCCCATGCATGCATACAATCATTACGCAGCTTTAGGTAGGCACGGTGCATGGGGGAAAGCAGGGGCTGGCGAGAAATCGGGGATACGGACGCGCAGGTGGCAGGAGGCTAGGCGGGTCAGGAACACGTAAGGTCCCATTTCGGTCCCGCTGGGGCTTCGCGCGCCGATTCGCCGCAGCCCATGCATGCATACAATCATTACGCAGCTTTAGGTAGGCACGGTGCATGGGGGAAAGCAGGGGCTGGCGAGAAATCGGGGATACGGACGCGCAGGCGGCAGGAGGCTAGGCGGGTCAGGAACACGTAAGGTCCCATTTCGGTCCCGCTGGGGCTTCGCGCGCCGATTCGCCGCAGCCCATGCATGCATATAATCATTACGCAGCTTTAGGTAGGCACGGTGCATGGGGGAAAGCAGGGGCTGGCGAGAAATCGGGGATACGGACGCGCAGGCGGCAGGAGGCTAGGCGGGTCAGGAACACGTAAGGTCCCATTTCGGTCCCGCTGGGGCTTCGCGCACCGATTCGCCGCAGCCCATGCATGCATATAATCATTACGCAGCTACAGGTAGGCGCGGTGCATGGGGGAAAGCAGGGGCTGGCGAGAAATCGGGGATACCGACACGCAGGGGCACCTACTGGGAGGTGCCTAAACCCCCCCAGTAGGGGGGGCGCCCCGTGCCCCGCGCCCCCGCGCCCCGCGCTAGGCATGTCAGCGTGTCAGATAAAGGTTAGGCCATCTCCCCGACCGGTTTTTAACTTAACCAAACTACTTTCAACGCAGGCATTTCAATGCGTTATCTTTCAAATTTCAGAGGATGGGCAAGTCGTCCGGCCGAGGAATTCGGCAAGGCGTCCGGCTCATGAGACAAGACAACATCCATAAGGAGACACAATCATAATCGTAAATCACATATATGCACACATGTAAAATATATATGGTAAACCTCCTCGTGGCGCGTTCGGTTGGCGTTCGGTTGGCAACGTAAACCTGCCGAAACGTAAACCTGCCGAAACTAGTTTCGGTGTTTCCGGCGAAGAGGTCCTGGTTCTGCGGAAAGGCCGAAACTAGTTTCGGCCCCTTTCGGCTAGCGCCGTACGGCGGAACCTACTTTGAATAGTTTCAAAGTGCAGGCGCGTTGTGCAAGGCTGCGAAACTCTGCGAATGTTGAGCTTATCTTATCAATGTCTCAGACAACTTCCGTTGTCAGTGCAGACACAGATCCGGTCAAAAACAAGGGCGGAAGGACCGCTGATCAGACCGTTTGGGCTCACTTTGAGAAGAAAGAATATAATGCAAAGTGTAAGAACTGGACTATCATCTGCAAGTACTGCCGGACCGAGTCCAAGCAAGGGCGCCTTCAGGAGATGCGCGTCCATATCGCGCAAAAGTGCGCGGGACCCGCTTGCATGTGTGTATGCCAGTATTAGATGTTTGAGGGTTATCTTTGGTTAGGTACCAGTTCTGTGCAGGGCATGCCGTGATCTAGCACAAGATTAGTGTCGACTAGGACATGGTGCGGTATCAGGTGGTGTTGAGCACGGAGCGACATGCAGATTTAGAGAATGGGGCCCAGCATGTGGCACCCAAGATGGCTGTGAGCAGTGGTATGGAGGGCAGATCTTCAACCTGGTTCAGCGGCCCCCAACCACCAGCAGCTTCATGTAAAAGTTTCCCTTTGCGCATCCCAACATCAGACGCCAGTTACATAAGAAAAATGTCAGTGAATTCAAGCTTTAATCGCAGATTAGTAACATTATGGTGACCCGGAGTGCCTTCGGACACACATGAGCAGGTCCCATGAGGCGCAAAGGCACATAGGGCCCACAAACAACGTTTGCATACCATGGACGTCATAAAATACAGCATTTTCAGGGTTTCGGCAGTTTCCGGCAGTTTCGCGAGGTTTCGCAGAAGGGTCCAGAAATCGGAAACTATTTCGGTATTGGCAGTGAGGTTTCGGCCCGTACACTGGCGCATGTTACCGGACCCTGCAGTACGCTCGTTCCCAGTCCGGGGGCGTATGCTACCTTATTTTAGGCGTAGTCGAAAATGTGGTTTGAAGGCGGGCGTCAGAGCGGCATCGTACGGTGCGGTTGGTTGGTTGTTGTATTGAGCTGCTATTTTGCTCGGTGGTGTTTCGTCTTGTCTAATAATCTTCCTTGTGATCTCTGGCTCGGCTTCTGGTTGATACGAGCTCTCTTTACCAGAACAGCTGCTAGCTGCCGCTGTTATTGTCCGTTGGTCAGCGGTGTGGATCTGGCGACCTTTCTTTCGACTTTCTTGTCCTTTCGTGTCTTATTAATCTTCATTTCATTTCGTCAGTTCGTCTGGTGTTGGTTGCTGTAGCCATGTCGCCCTTTGACCACCTGCGCACGACCGCTGACTGCGACCGAGAGCTGGTCTCCTTCCCACCGCTTTCATCGGATGATTTGTACATATTGCAACGGGTAGAAGATCAGCTTTTGGCTATCGACGAGGCGTTGGCGACAGACCTCGGCCAGCAGGAGCAGCATTTGCCCGTTCGGGCTTCGAAATCAGCCAAGGACGCCCACACAGCCAAACTCGAGTCCATTCGGCGCAAGCATGAGTCACAACGTTCGAGACTCCTTCGAGCCAACCCGTCCGTTACCGACCTGAAGACTCACGACGCCGCTCGGCTGGCGATTCAAGAGCGTAAACTTCAGCTCGTCTTCGGCATTCCGCTGCAAGGCTGGCACCCCCTCCCAAGTGTGGGCGAGGACGACGCAGCGCTCGCTGGCCTGAGCGAGGGAGGGAGGACATCCTGGACACTGTGCCGGAGTGGGGATCGATGTTCAAGGCGGCAGGCAGACAGCACCTGGCGTCCGACCAGTCAGCCTTCAACATTCATGCCAACCGCGTCACCCTACCAAAATGAAACCGCTTTAAGAGCGCTCTCAACGCGATCTTAAGTCATATAAAGCACAAGTGGATGCCGCTGTTAAGAGCGTTCTGAGAACACTCTTATCTGCCATGTTTTAAGATTGTGCCTTCTCAAGCGTTCTTAAGCGATCTCAAGAGAGCGCTCTTTGCAGGGGATCTCAAGCGTTCTCAGCGATCTTACCCCTTCTCAAGGACATTCTCAAACCATTTTCTCACGCATTCTTAAGCAATCTTTCACCACTCTCAAGCGTTCTTACACCATTCTCTCACCATTCTTAAAGCGTTCTCAAGCGTTCTTACACCGTTCTCTCACCATTCTTAAGCGTTCTTACAGTGTTCTCAAGCGTTCTTACACCGTTCTCTCACCATTCTTAAGTGTTCTTACAGTGTTCTCAAGCGTTCTTACAGTGTTCTCACAGAGTTCTTACAGTGTTCTCACAGCATTGTTACAGTGTTCTCAAGCATTCTCAAGCGTTCTTAAACCGTTCTCAAGTGTTCTTAAACCGTCCCCCAGCATTCTTAAACCGTTCTTAAGGGCGCCTTCAAAAAGAGGTATGCCCAACAAAAACCTAGGGACACCATCTCGCTAGAGCCCGATTCTCACAGCAGACCGCTTTCCCATTCGGGCAGACACACATATGAGGTCCAGGTCCACCATGCCAGCACTTATACCTACAACATATATACAATCACATGCTCGATCCATGCTGGAACTGCATATGGTACTGCAGCATACCAAATGAATGAGTGTTATGGTGGATCCCTGAACGCGATCACAAGGCCTATGCTGAGGGGCTCGCAACAAGGCGCATGGACAGGACAGCCCAATAGCCAAGTACAGCCCCACACACCGCCTACACTTCCCACACCTAAGGTGGTTCCTAACAGGGTGTGTATCACTCCAAGTCCACCGCATCCAACTGCTTCTTGCTCAGCCCAGTGGTCCTCATGGCCCACTGGACTGCGGTCATCTTGCCCTTGACTGCGAGCAATCCCACAATGAGCCATCGCACCTGCAGACAGAAGCAACCAGAACAAAGTCAACACATGTGATGCAGACGTGGTATCACAGATCAACCTTGATTTACCTTCTGGAAGAGGCGGAGTGGCTGGTCATTTAGTGCAAAGGACTGGCCAGTCGGGGGAATGTGCACAGTGCCAAGGTCCTTGATGACTGCCATGGCGCGGCCAATCACCAGGAGATCAGTGCAGCCGTCAGCGGTCTCGTCATCCTGTATGTTCATAGGGGGTAAGAGGCCAGGCGGCAGTTACAAGCACAGATGGAAGTTCTTTGTTAGGGTATGAACGCATACAGACGCACAGCAGACCGCCTGTCAGACAGCGTGTAAGCTTACCAGGTCGCCCAATAGTAATCCAGCCCCCAAAGCCTCGGGCTTGATGTCCTCCTTCTTACGTGCTCCAACAAGGAAGCAGCCCTTGGTCTTCCCCACGAGGTCACATTCTTGCAGTTCCCAGATCGCGTCAAACAGTATAATTTGGAAAATTGGAATGAGAGAAATGGTCTGCGGTAACCGTATGAAGGGAAATGAATGGTTTGACCCGATCTGGACCCGGTCATACCTTATTGCGGACCGCACCCTCGGCGGCAGCGGCTTTCCTCTTTGTTGCAGCATGCATAGTAGCAATACATGCTGATGGTCGAGGGTGTCCTTCTTCAGCTCCTCGTTGTGAGCGCTGTTTTGGCGGACGAGATGGAGGCTTGCTTGAAGGCCTGGCGACCTGTAGTCCAAGGCTTGCTAGCTTCTTTAAATTCCTCTGGATGATGAGAGCTCTCTCTTCTTCAAGTGTGTTCCTCAACGACCGTTCTGGGGACACAGACCTCGAGGACCCCTGTTCCCTATTTGGACTATTCTGCCTGGATGTCATCTACAAAATATGACCACATAGGCTTCGATTCGTTGGTACTGTCCAATTCTGCGAAGTTAAGACCAGGATTCAGCATAATTTTCAAGATGCCGTACACTTCCGGACCAGGGTCCGGAATTGCACGGCATTTCACCTCTTGCTGCCCAGAAGTCATGTGAACATTTGGACAATTTGCAGCACCAATAAGAAACGTCACTGGGTTTAGCACTATGTGATTGCTGTGAAAATGGCACCATCTGGTACCTTTATGCAGATACGCGACCTGTACTTACAGAAGAGACAAATAGGCCAACGCCTTAAACGTGAAGTGTTTAACTTTGCGTGTGAACTTGCACAGTGCCGCGCCGGAGAAACCTTCATAGTTATTGTCGATGGGCTTGAGTGGGTTGCTACAGTGCCACGGCGCAGCAAGATGCTCAGCAAGAAGCATGCTGACTTCACTGGGCCGTATGCCAGCAGGGAACAGAGGGCAGCAGCACCATTTCTTCCAACGTCCTTCAAGCAAGCACTTACCCAGCTTGATGATCATCAACCACAACATTCACGGCGGCCGGCGCCCAACAACAGGCGGACGTCTCTGCCCAACGTGAGTTCCATAAGGGGTTGCTTGTGCGCCCCTCCCCATTGGCTCCTTGCATGTGTGTCATGAAGATGCCGAGTTTGTAGTGCGGCTTGCCCTGCTTAGTGCGCCTGTCAGTGTTTTCTGGGAGGGACTACTCCGTGTTGCCCTCTGTTGGGTCGTACCTGCCTTGTCCACGAGCCGGCGGCCTGCCTTTCCAGTGTTCAGCACTTCCCTCCCCGTCGGGCGATAAACGGGGCGCGCACCGTGATATCGGGCCCCTCCTCGGGGATAAGGAGGCGTCTTGTTGACGTTTAGCCCAATTGGAGGGCCCCCACACGCTGCGGGTTAGAGCTGCCCTCCCCGTCGGGCGATAGATGGGGCATGCACCGCGATATCGGCCCCCTCTTTGGGGATAAGGAGGCGTCTTGTTGACGTTTAGCCCAGTTGGAGGGCCCCCACACGCTGCGGGTTAGAGCTGCCCTCCCCGTCGGGCGATAGACGGGGCGTGCACCGCGATATCGGCCCCCTCCTCGGGGATAAGGAGGCGTCTGTGTGACGTTTAGCCCAGTTGGAGGGGGCCCCCACACGCTGCAGGTTAGAGCTGCCCTCCCCATCGGGCGATAGACCGGGCGCGTGCAGTGATATCGGCCCCCTCCTCGGGGATAAGGAGGCATCTTGGTGGCGTTTGTGTTTTGGCCAATCTGGACTTGGTGAGGGGGGAATTCTTGAGGGAGGAATCGCCCCAGGCGCCTACCCCGGCGGTTGGTACTGCTGCACCACTTGCTTGCTTGCGGTGGCGGGTATCGGATCAGTGGCCCTTGGGAGTGTTACAGAGGACCTGGCACAGCTGACTGTGGCATTACACGGCAGCGTGGTCGCAGACAGCTCATCGGTCACCTAGGAGTCGGGGCGGCGACGGTGCAGGGCAAATGCGGAGCCGTGGAGGGTGATGGAGTTCACCCAGGACGCCTGCTGGCTGGTTTTGGGGTTTTTTCGCTCCAGAGGAGTGAGTTGGCGGCCCTGATGGCGGGCTGTGTTGAGGAGTTGCCGGGAGGGGGTGTGGGGCTGCAGATCGTACGTAGCAAGACGGACCAGAAGGATGCAGGGGTGTTGGTGTGCCTGGCAGCACTCACCCAGAGCGGCGTAACCATCGCTCGCATAGTGCAGCGGCACCTGGAGTGCGTACTAACGGCCGAAGTTCACTCCCCGCTCTTCGTACGGGGAATCACTGGGCCGGGCAAGCGGGGCTCGGCTTGGCAGCACAGGGATTTCGCTGGCAGGCTGCATGGGTTGCTGGAGAGTTGCAGGGATACGAGCCGGAGCTGAGGCTAGATCTCGCTAGGATATCGGCCCACAGCTTGTGCAAGGGCGGGGCCACCGCGGCTGCCAATGCTGGGGTGGGTCTGGAGGAGATTAAGGTGCACGGGCGGTGGAGGTCTGATGCGGTGCTGGTCTACATTCGCCGGTCTGTGGCTGTGAGGTGGGCAGTGGTGGAGCGAATGTGACACGACTGGGTGAAGGGGGGATGTTTCGCTGGGTTAGGTGTGGGGCCAAAGTAACCCAAGCGAGGCCGTCGGCTGCCTGCTGGTTACCAATGCGGAAGAGCACGGTAGCCCGGAAGGGCCGCACGAAGTAGCATGCGTGCTCTGGCAGGCAGGCTGGGCGTCTCTTCTCCACAACCATATGTCCACGTCCCCGGTGCCTTGTTCTTGTTAGTCGTGCTGTAATGAACACGTTTTGGGTTTCTCGTCCTGGTTCTTGGTCTGGCTAGCTGCTCAGCCCGGATTCAAAGGTGACAGTAATCCAAGCACTTGAAGGGCAAACAACTGTCCACTCCTCTGTATATATGCAGAGAAGGATCTTGCCACATTAGATAAAAAGCGAAAAAGCCGGATGGCCAGCAAGCTGAAGCAGCATGCCGTTGACATCCTTACTGATGCGAGCAACCTCGTGGCTACTCAACCCCGTTCAGGGCAGAACGATTAAGTCCTGCAGTAACGTGCACCAGTTGCTTAAGTCACGTCCAGAACTGCACCGGCGGCTTACCCAGGTCTTAGATGGCTTGGAGGTCGCTGTGCGTGCACTGCAGCAGCCTGGTGCGCATGACGAGCTGGTGACGCTGGCAGTAGCTCACGATACAGGGGGTGATCAGACAGCAGCAGCAACAGCAGTGGTGGCGAGAGCTGGGGAAGGGTTCAACCCGGCAGCAGCAGCATTGGGTACCAATTTTCGTGATAGCTCATTGACAGCTGCTGTGGAGGGCAGGCTTAACCTGTTGGCAGCAGCAACAGGTGGTCAGGCGGTAGCAGCAACCGCAGCAGCAATGGTGCCCAGCCCGTGGGGGGCCAGCCCACTGACAGCTGCTGTGGAGGGCGGGTTTAACCTGGTGGCAGCAGCAGCAGGTGCCAATGCCCCCGATAGAGGGGCTGGTCAGGCGGCGAGGAGGAGGGAGGGGGGGAGGAGGGCGGGAAAGAGGGGGGAGGTAAAGAGGATAGTGCAGTCGTGGAGGAAGGGAGCCAGGATGGCATGACTGAGGAGGGACAGAGTGAGAGTGGGTACAACGTGACGTGCATGGGTGGGTCCTCCAAGCGGCCAGTACAGGCTGCCAGCAAGCAAGGCAACAGAAAGTCCTACATCTCCCGTCGTTATGGCTAGCATTAAATGCCGGTGGCCTCTTTGGCAATATGGGTTTCGTTTTTAGGAGGACGGAAATTCAATGGGCTTATTAAGGGGGAACAGTTTGTTCTTCACCGAGTGGTAATTCCGAGGGGGAAACTGGGGAAACTGTTTCGCCACCGCAGTGCAGGCTTCGGCCCAAGCACTGGGTTAGAGCCACGCATTCGCGCCTGTGTTACTTTTTACTCCATGCTGCTTATGCATAACGGTGGTGCTATCAGCTCGAAGAGCCGCCTACCGCCAACTGTTGCTGCGTCGTCGGTTGACATTCAGCGCTCCTGCTCCATAGCTATATAGCCATCTGTATGATAAAGCCCTTTCACGCCCATATCACATTCAACCTCCAATCCATTTCCCTCCCTCCCCTCTTACATAATACGGCTAACACCGCAGCCACAATCGGTTAATTCACAATATTGTCGGGACTCCCTGGCCTTTAATAAACACGAAAATTCCTACCTAAATGTCGCAGCGCCACCAGCATTTCAAATCACCTCCTGCTCGCATCCTTGCGTGTTTGCACCTACACCTTGTCTTCCGCCTCCCCATCCTGCCCACCTACCATACCGCCATACCGCAACACTACAAAGGGGTTGTACGGATGCAACAGTTCCACCTCGCTAAGAGGCTCGCAACCATAAGACGCAAACAGAAACGTACCTCTCCAATGCATCTATGCGTCATCATGCTTATGTGCTTGCAAATGTGTAGCGGACAGATGTTGCCGTGTCCGGGGGTGTCACCGTGCCCTCCGGCACCATCCCAACCTCTATAATTCCAACCCAAACAGGAGAAAACAGAAAAAACGGTTACCATTCGAAGCGACTCAACCTGATTTGGTGCCGTGCTTCGCATGCGTTTCTGGCAAAACTCATACACACACATGCACACGCACATGCGCACACAACCAGCTGCTTTCTAATACAGGCATGCAGTAGCACATTACACAAAAGCCGCTCTGACCAATATAGCTAGCTTTCTTCTGGACAGACACGCAACAGACACGCAGCTGAACAATGTGATACCAGCAACAAAGTACGACCTGGCAGCATACGCCCCTTGTGCCAGAACAGAACTCCCTCGTGTTGCCCTTTCTCGCATCCTTTGGGAGCCGAGCCTCGTTGTCTACCTCTTGCGCTAATTCTTCGTCTGAAAGATCAGGCGCTTCCGGAAATTTCCTTCAGCATCGCCTCCCGAATGGGAGCCGTCTTGCCGCTGCTCCATTCTCGGCTGAGAAAGGGCACACGGTAATGCATTTCCTGAGAGCCTCTTGGGGGCCCTTCTGGCGCCTCCGACACCCCCTTCTCAAGCCAGGGGTTGCCCCAGCCAAATCCGCTCTTTCACAAGCAACACACGCATACACACGCAAGCACACCATCGCCGTTTCCCTCACCGCGGCTCAGATCATGAGAACACATACACACACACACTCTCTCACACAAACATATAGGCCCAACCACCACATTTTCTCGCATTTTCTCACCACCACATCTGAAGAGGCTTTTCGCAACCCCTCTCCCCTCTCAAGTCGCAACAAGTACGCCGCACTGCCCCCTCCCCGCCTTCTTCCTCACAACCTGGCCGCATCCCCGCCGCGCCCATACTCCATCGCAATCCCCACCCCCACCCCGCAGCCTCCCCCAAAGCCCCCCGTCATCGTGCATCCTTCCCTTTCCCTAGCACTCCGCGCCCCCTGCGCAACACTACCCCAGCACTGCGCCCTCCCCCGCCGCTCCATCCCCGGCCCCTTCCTCCGGCTCGCCAAACTCATCGGCCAGGGATACCGGCGCCAGCGTCGTCGTCTCGTGCTCCACGTTGACGTCCCTACCCGCCGCCGCCAACGTCGCCGCCAGCTCCCTACAGGCGGCCTTCCCGACGCCCGGGCACTCGCTGACCGCCAGCACAGTAACCCTAGGCAGCTGTGTCACCACCTGCAGGCCCGCTGGTGTCACTCCCGCCATGCAACGCAGCTCAAGGTGCTCCAGACTACCGGCCAGGGACACCAGGGCCTTATGCGGGGGATAATTTGGGAGGGGCGCAGGGGCAGAGGCGGCGTACGTGCTTTAGCATGTGGTAGCTCGGCAACCGGGAAGTAAGGGTCAGAGCTTGCAAGATGGGCTTGGGGATAAGAGCAGGTCAGGGAGCAAGCAACAGAATGACAATAACATCAGCATAAAGCAACAGCTGCAGGAACGATTAAAATAGCAAGTGCAACAGTGGAAAAGATGGAAATTTGACAATGATGAGCCGCGCAGCAGAGAACGGATCGAGGACTGGACCCGAGGTGCAATCTGGACATAGGCTCATTACGTGGGACCCCCTTCCCATCCCCTTCCCTTCAAATCCCCCTTCCAGTCACTCCTCTCACGGCCCATTCGCACTCGCATCCAGGTATCGTTTTCAGATTCTTCCTTTCCTTTACCTTTCATTTCACCCGACCAACTGCCCACCTGCAGCCCCTCGTCATGCACATTGGGCAGCCGCGACAGCACCAGCGTCCGCAGCGCCCCCAGCACCGCCACTGCCTCCCACAGGAAGCCGTCCGTCACCGCCGGCGACTCCAGCAGCAGCAGCTGGTCCAAGTAGGGCACGGAGCGCAGCGCTCGCACCGCAGCACCGGTCAGCTGCGCGCACCCCTCCAGTTGGAAGCCCGTCAAGGAGGGCAGCGGGGGCAGAAACTCCAGAACCTGTTAAGACACACCAGACGAGGTTTGAGACGTGAGAAGTGTGAGAAGTGTGAGAAGTGTGAGACGAGGTGAGGCCGGAAAAAAAAGGCGCTTGCGTGTTGCGGGTTTAGGAAAACAAGGGAAAAACGTTCGGTGGTCGCGGAATGAGGAAACTGATGCAGACCTGCAGACCTGCAGGCCCCCCCGGCCGTAAGGCTGCAGGGGCTGCTCTAGCCGCGTGAGCTTCGGGCGCCGGCGCTGGGGCGCTGCAGCGCTGGGCTGTCAAATATTGGGAATAGGACACATTCCATGAATGCGGAAAGGTCAAAATATCATTTGGACTAGGAGAAAAACAAACCCGCGTGCCTGTGTGCTGGTATATAAGTACTTGAGCCATCGAGCCCTCGGCTTGTATTGGGCGGTTTGCAGGTACGGGGTATGCACCCCACGGCCATGTAACACACACACACACACACACGCACACACACGCACACACACGCACACACAAGCACACACACACACACACTAGTACTAGATCCTTCCACACCATTCATCCATCCATCCCAGCTGCCTCCGCCCATAAAACGCACATACATACACACATACACGCATATACACACACGCACTGAAGTCGTGCATGTAACTTCTTCCACCCCTAATTCAAACGGCGGCTCAATCCACTTAAATACATTATGTTACTTTATGTACGCACATGCCGTACCTCATCGCGCAGTTGCGGATAGTTGAGCGCCAGGCGCTTCAGCCGGTCAGCTCCCGTCAGTTGCTGCAGTCCCCGCCCCGAAACGTGGAACACCAGCACGTTCTCCAGCGCCGGAAACAGCTCCACCAACCTCACCACGGGCTGCGGCTCCCCCGGTGCGGGCATGGATAGCTCCCCCAGAATGAGTGTCCGCAGAAACGGGAGGCATGGAGGCATTAAGAGGTGGGGCCGGACGCCGCCGAGGGGCACAGACGCGACGCCGGAGGAGCCGCTGCCGCGGCAGCCGCCGTCCGGCAGCAGCGCGGGAGCCTGTTGCGCAACGGCACGGGATGTAGCGCCGGATGCAGCACTGCCTGCAGCTGCCAAGGCGACCGCCGCTTCTGTCCCCCATTTGGCCGTGGCGATGAGCGCTGGGTCATCCTCGGAGGTGGGGATTCGTATGGACTGTACCTGAGGGATAATGCCGGAGATGAGGTGAGGGGTGAGGTGAGGGGTGACGTGAGGGGTGAGGTGAGGGGTGAGATGAGGGGTGAGGTGAGGGGTGAGATGAGGGGTGAGGTGAGGGGTGAGGTGAGGGGTGAGATGAGGGGTGAGGTGAGGGGTGAGATGAGGGGTGAGGTGAGGGGTGAGGTGAGGGGTGAGGTGAGGGGTGAGATGAGGGGTGAGGTGAGGGGTGAGATGAGGGGTGACGTGAAACGAATGAATTTCGGTGGAGACAGATGCCCTTTGGAGCTCCTCTTCTCATCCCCATGCACGCATAGCCCAGCAGCAGCAGCAGCAGCAGCAGCAGCAGCAGCAGCAGCAGCAGCAGGGCGCACGCGCGCATACCTGCATCATGTTGAGGCCGGTGCACTCAGCCAACACGGACAACGCCCTTACGTCCAGCTCCATGCACAGAGACAGCTCTCGTAGCCAGGGCGACACGCTGCAGGGACGCACCCCTGTCGCGGGCTGGGGCTCCGCATGCCACCTGATGACGTCAGCCAAAACGACAATGCCATCAGCAGCACCAGCATCAGCACCAAAATAGCAACATAGCCATTTCGGTAGAAAGGGGCAACAACGACAGCGGGAGCCCCCATGGCATATGCACACCAGCACCAACAGCCAGCAGGGCCATCCTTGTTTCTTCTGGCTCTGTTACCATGGCCCAACGTTGCTTTCTGTAAAATGGAACAAACCGAAACCCTTGCTCACCTCCCATCCCACCCCTGAATCCGCGCCGGTCCCACAGCCCCAAGCACCAACAGTACAACCATGCGGCCCCATCCCACCCACAATTCGATACACACACACACACGCGGCGCGTTCACCAACATCTCCAACCGTACTCCGCCCTTCGCACCACCCTAATCCCCCTACCCCCAATCCCCAGACCAGCCGAAACCCAAAGCCCCCACCCTAACCGGCCCAGCCCCACACCCCAGCCGCTGCTCTCACCACCCCAGCGTCCGCAGCGCCGGCAGACACGCCAGCGGCCCGGGGTCCTCGTCGGCAAAGCCCGGCGCCAGCTCTATTCTCAGCCCCGTGAGGGCCGTCAAGGCCGCCAGAGGCTGCAGAGTGGCGTTGCTGCCACGAGCTGCCGCCGCTGTCAGACTCAGGAGGCCGGTCAGCCGGGCCAGGGCAGCGTAACTGCAATGGGCTCCAGGCCGGTCAGCCAGCAGGGCAGGGCAGGGCAGCCAGCAGGGCAAGGCAGGGCAGGGCAAGGCAGCGCAGAGGAGGGAAGGTAGCTTGATAGGTAAATAGCTCGGTAATGGTGGGGAGGGGGGAAAGGGAAAAGAGTCAAAGGAAGCGCGGACCGTAACACGTCACAATTACCACCAGCATAGATGACAATAAGGAAATATTGTAGCAAAAATGTTGGTTAGGTAGTTCGAGCTTCGCCCGACAGCAGGCAGCCTTACAGGAAGGGAGGTAGAGAGGGAGGGAGGAAGGGAGGGAGGGAGGTAGAGAGGGAGGGAGGGCGGTCACTGCAAGTGGCGCAAATGAATTGCCGGTGTCCAAAATCTGCAGGGGAAGGGTGGGAAGGAGAGTGAGTGGGCGGGGTGGAAGGAAGGGGGATACACCGCAGGGTACGAAGCAGGTTGCAGAACGTGACCCACGCAGAACCAAGACTCATCTCACCCTCTACACAGACCGCAATCCCCCTCCCAATTGTACGCACGCACACATATACATACATACATAAATACGCACATACACGAACAACCTTGACCAATGGCAGGCTCGATAGCTGCCGTTTACCTTCATGAAGCCCGTTCAGATGCTGCAACACACACACACACACACACACACACTGCCCACTGTAACAACCACACACACACATACACGCGTGCACATACGCGCGCATGCGCATACACGTACACTCAGGCAGTTGTTCCTGTCCCGGCGCGCACATACAAGCCACCCTTCACACATGTATACATTTCTCCACGCGGCTCAATTCTCCTACAACAAAGCACATACATATATACACACATATACACACACACGGACTCACCCCTCCCTGGACACCTCCCCCGTGTTTCCCAGCATCAAACGCTGCAGCTGGGGTAGCCCCTGGCCCAGAATACGCGCCCCGGCATCGTTCAGAGCCCAGCCCTCCAAGCTGAGCTCCAACAGCGAGGAGAGGGCCGCCACGGAGCGTAGAGCTGCGCAATGCTGCAGGGGGTCCGCCGGGGCCGCGGGCGGCAGTGGCGGCAGGGCCAGGCTGGTGACGGCAGGCAAGGCGGACAGCAGCCCGCGGAGGCAGCGCAGGGAGATGTACGGCGTACCCGGAAAACGAACTTTCTGAGGGGTTGTTGTTCGGCCGGGGGAGGGGAGGCGGGGAAGAGACGCGGGTTTAAGGCGGGACGATGCCGGTGGATTGTAATTTAATGGGCGGATGGGCCAAAAACGGATGTGCGCTACCAACTCCTATCAACTGCCGATGTGTGCCGTGCTGTGCCGTGAAGGGGGTATCAACAAGCACACATACAGACACACAAGGCGGACACGCGCCTGCCGCTCCGCACCTCCGCAATTCCAACGAACTTAACGAAATGCATCCATGCTGAATATGCACACACACATATACCGGTATGCGCAGCTAGGTAGTCATACCTGCAGCCTGGCAAACACGCCAAGGTTCATGAGGATGACCGCCAGGAAGTTGGCCTCTTGCTCATCCTCCCAGGTCCACCGTTCGAACCACACGTAGACCAGAGAAGTCAGTCGCTGCAGCAACCCGCTTGTGAGCAGCGCCTCCCCCTCCTCCACCTTCATCACCTGGGAGAGGGGGACGCGGCGCGGAGCGATACACATACACACACATGCACACTCACACACACGCACGCGCGTGCACATACGTACATACACGCGGCCCAGTTCGTTAATAGAACACGTGCACAAACGTGCATGCGCAACACGTGGCCGGATGAGACGCCGCGTGTGGATGGTTATCATGCTGTGGGGTAGGGCGGGGTGGGGTTACGACGCCAGCACAGCCAACAAGTATATAGGTATGTGCATGCAGGCGGATGAGACGGACGATGTGCCGCGCTGGGCCTCAGTCACGGTTCCCAATTGACCCCACCCAACATGGACCCAAACTCCGGACAGCAAAAGAGCGCTGTTCGCCACGTCTGAATGTTCTGTTAGCTGCGTCGTTCTGGTCGTTACTTTTCCTTTTTAGACGCGTCTCGGAGCGCCTTTCCCCCCGGCGTGTATATGTATGTATATATAAATGTACGTATATATGTATGTGCTTAGCGCTCTCCGGGCCGGGCTGGTTTCGTGTAAATGACTCCCTCTCATTTTTTCTCTCTCTTTTTCACGCATACACACACAGCCATCTCCTGTAAAACCAATTGGATGACAATTGAACTCCAATGCCTCCTAAGGAAATGCCAATGCCAGCAGACCCTCGGATAGCTTAGAGGTTCTGCTTGTTAACAGTTGGCTGCGAAGTCGGGACTGCCTCCCCGCTCCGCACATGGACCATCTCAGCGTTCGTACTCCTGCTATCGGATCAGTCCCGTGGGTCGGTTCCAGGTTTCTCCTTATACAATTTCCTTCTGGCCCTCTTCAAGTTGTACGTCTTCCTCCCTCAACTGCCCATTCTAACCCGGCTAAAGGCGCTGCGTGAGCTTAAGACGCTTTGTTATAATGTGGTGGTAGTGGAGCCGGTGGGTGATGATGATTAGCAGGGCGTATCGCTTGCCTCGCTTGCCGCGGCTCAGCGACCGCAACCCACCCAGCCATTGGACGCCGCATCCACAAGCTCCCGAGCTAGCTTGCATGTTGTACGGAAGGCGGGGAGCGCGGCGTACGGTAGGTAGCTGACGATGCTCGCCACGAGCTCCTTAGGGAGGTCTGGGAGGCCGATCGCCTGCGGGTTGTTTGGGGGTTAGGAGGAAAAATGGGGGTGCGGGAGAAAAGGCGTGGAGGGGTGAAGGGGCAGGCGAGGGCAGGTGCGGGAGCCGGGGGAGACCAGAGGTGGGGAAAACGGAAGGGTTTGATGGCTCCGGCTCGCGGCGTCAGGGAAAGTTGTGCAAGGCAGGAGCACAAGCAAATGACGGTGTAAAAGAGTTCGGGTTCCTGCGTGACGTTGGACTTGCGGCGGCTGAGGCTCTTTTACATTGCCAAAGCGGAACTAAGGTATGCTTAAACTTCAGTAATCAAAGCACAGCGCTTTGATCGTAACGGCACTGAGTGCGTTACCCATGGAAGCCCCGAACCATGCATCTGAAAAGTAGTGGATGATGAATAAAGCTAGAGGTGTCCTATATGTCCAAAGCGTTAAATACAAACCTGCGCCGTGGAAAGTTTCGCATGCCGGCCGTGGCTCGGTCCCGCGTGGGGGCCCGCTATCATGGATTGGATTACTAAATAGCAGATGTTGTGCAGACCGAGCTTATTCACTCTGTGCCGTCTGAGTATCCGCTTGCACCAGGATACGACATGACACACGCTCTTTTCCAAAAGACCTGCTCCTGCAAATCCCCCTTACTTCAAGGTGAAAAGACTATTTCATACAATTAAATCCACAACAACAAACACTTTGTAAAGGCCATTCACGTACTCATTTGGAACATGGTCAAGTTGTTGCCATGTTGGCTACCGCCTTCACTATAATTGCTAGAATTTTTTGATAGAGGAAAAATCGTTTGTTTCCTGCCGTGCGTTCGCACCTTTAGTGAGTTAGCTCATCTTATCTTTTGCTTTTTAACGGCGATGGAAACCTAAGCTTGGGCATCTTGCGTTAGTGGATCGCTATCCTGCGGTGGTATAGCCGAAAGGAGCGCATGGAAGCCCAGATTGCCCTGGTCCGGAGTGCACTCCATGCTTTGTTTTCGGCACATGATGGGTGAGTTTGAGATATGTGCTGGGCATGTACAGTTCTTGCAGTTTTTCACATGAACTTATCCTGTACCTAGAAGGAGTGGCAGCTGCTGCCGTTCTTGCAGGCTAGTGTTAAAACCCCTTGGTGCGCGCTTTGCTGTATTGTGATACGCGCTTGCTGCCATGACTCATAGCTGTCAAATTTACAGGAATTTACTCCTCAATAATGCTAGCATGTGCGACGACCGCCCACCACAGCGAAAGCTTAGCTCTAGATTTTTGCAACACAACGCGTCCCAACGATGATGATATGGATAGCTCTAAGTCGTGTTGGTGCTGTTTGTCCTGACGGCGAAGCCTGTGAACCTGCTGCTGGGCGATCTTGACAGTGGCTGTCGCGGCACTTTGAGTTCTCCGGGCACTTGTTCAGCTTGGAGCATAAGTGTTAAGCATTGCATCCAGGGTCCGGTCTTCCTGTGCTCAGATGTTGCAGGAGCAGATACTTGCCGTTCCAAGATAGTCAATCAGCAGCAAAGATTTGCTCCGTACTGCAACCGCACATTGCACAATGCGGCACAATGCACGATGCGGCGCTTGCCGTGTATAACGGCGCACAATTTATTGGGATTCCTGCACGGTGCCGTTTCGGCAGTGCAGTATTTCATTCTCTGTCCGGTACAGTGACACACACGACGTCGCCCTCTCCTTAGGAGGAACATGTGCACAGCTCCAACAGTAGTGTGCAACACTATCGAGCTCTTATACCGAAATTCATTATGCAGTAACAACGTCCTCATTCAAATTCCGGATTTGTCGTAACTCTGCAGCAGCCGCTTGCTGTCGAGCGTCGTTCGACGTGTGAAATTTGTGTGACCAGGTCTGGGGCGTCGTCCCTCGGTTCCTATCAAATTCGCTCCCCAACATTTCCCCTTGTCTCGCAGCCGATAACATTTATGAAGGACTACAAAAGAACTGAATCCCATAACCTGAATCCCAACTTTTATCTTCGTCATTGCGCAATCCTAGGATGCTTATATCCTCAAAGGATATAAGCATGTAGGCCCGAGATTATTTCAGCACCGCACAATCGGTCCTCATCCTGCAAAAAGCTCTCAAAAGCTGCACGTACCCCTGCATGCACGTACCCCTGCATGTGCATGTGCTGGAGAAGGGAACGTATGCGGAAGGATACCGAAGCTTGCATTGGGATATTCTTCATTCTTTTCCTTCCTTTCAGTGGACCCCATACAGGCAGACCTCCTCCTAGGTACAGAGCCCTCCTAGGTACAGGGCCCAGAGAACGTTACGCATGTCGTTCCCCATGTTTTGGCATCTGGGTCGGGCGTCTCGCCAACCCAAATCTCCCCGGCCGTGGGACTCTGTTGTCTTCCATCCCCCCGGCCATCCAACCCCGTCCTCATGCGCCATTTCCCTCTTCTTGTCTTCCTCCTCCTCCTCCTCCTCCGCGCGTTCCCGCCGTTCCCATGTCCCCCCTTTTCCTCGGCGGCTGAGGACTAAACTCCCGCATGCAATGCTTCGTAGTTTTCAGTTTCCTGTGGTCCATGGTCCGACGTATTTAACTCTTTCTTTCTCTCTCTCTCGTCTCCCCTCTTTCTCTACTGCACGGCACACACGTACAACTCTTCCCCCAAACACAAACAGCGCAACCCGTAAGGCAGCGGACAACTGGCTCCAGAACTTCCGCAACAGCACAGGCTCTTGGCAGCTGTGTTTGGCGCTGCTGTCACGGCCGGGCTTGGCGGAGTACGAGTACCATTTTGCTGCCCACTCGCTGAGGTTGTCTTGCTGCAAGGTGCCGGTAAGGAGGCTGGCGGAAGGCTACTGCCACTACTGCTATTTACTGCTGCTGCAACCTTGCTACTACTACTGCTGCTGCAACCTTGCTACTACTACTGCTGCTGCAACCTTGCCACTACTACTCCTGCTGCTGCTACTGCAACTGCTATTACTTCTGCTGGCCTGGTCTTTCTGTCGGTCTCCCCATTTCCCTTGACTGCAGGCTCCCCTCTTGGCGTTGGTCATGTGTAGTTTTGTATGAGTCTGCCTGCCTGTTTGGCTGCCTGCCCGTGTTTCCCTCAGGAGCTGTTGGACGCCAATGTGCTCCCGGGTCTGGCAGGTCAACTGGCGGCGCTGCTGCTGGCGAGCGTCGGCGGGGGAACCTGGTGAGGATTGCCTGTTTATGAAAGTCCAGCACAGCAAGAAAAGGAGTTTTTGACGAAGATAAAGAGGAAAGATGAATTTAGGATTTGTATGTGGTTTGAATCTCCTGCCTTTTCGCTCCTGCCCCTTGCAACCGATGAAACCTCTTCGTCTTCTGACTCGGTGCCGTTCTCCGCCTGATGACTTGATGCAATGTCCTAATTAGGCCTGTGGCTGGTCAGCTGAGCTCAGCACTGGCGGCACTGGCGGTACGGGCAGTGTGCTGGGAGCCTGAGGCACTGGTGCCGCAGCTGCTGTCGCTGCTGGCGCCGCAGGTGGCAGCGGCCATGCTGGCGGATCTGGCGCTCCAGGGGGGTGCAGGGCTGGGCGGTGGCATGGCGGTAGTGGCAGGAGGCGGCGGACATGCGGGCGCTGGCGGCGGTGTAGGGACGGTGCTGGCGGCGGCGGTGGGCGCGGAGGCGACGGCGGTGTTTGCCGTTCTGCATGTAAGAGTGTGTGTGCGTGCATGTCTGTGTGTGTGAGTGTGTGTGTGTGTGTGTGTGTGTGAGAGAGAGAGAGAGAGAGAGAGAATGTGTGTATATGTATGTGTGTCGCCGAGAGTTAGGGCTGTGGAACGCAGCGGAACGGTGACAGTGTGTGGGACGTGTGGTGCTTGAGGGTCTGGAAGGAAAGTAAGTTACATGATTTGTTGTGGTGTTCATGACAGTCGTCTCGAATGATTCTCGCCGTATCCCGTGCGTGCCGTCTCCTTTGTTGGGCTGCCGTACTTGTCCTTAGTCGTGTCTCTGCCCCCAGCACTCCACAAAACCCATTCGCGCCTGCCATTCCCCCTCCCCGCTGCCTCAGGTGGTAGCTGGTCTTCCTGAAGCTTGTGTGGCTCGCGCCGTGTCAGCGCACCCGCAACGTAAGGCCCAAGTGGCGGCAGCGCTGGCAGTGGATGCCACTGTCGTACCGCTGCTGCGCGCGACGGTGGTGAGCAGTCGGGATGTAGGGGTAGGGACGCTGGGTTTGGCGCCGGCGGCTGCAGCGGCTGCTGCTGCCGCCGCTGGCGGACTGCAGCACTCAGTGCTGCGACGGGCGGGACTTCAGCTGCTACACGCCTGGTCTGATCAGCTGGGCGCAGCTCCACGAGGCCTTGAACATGAGACGGAGGTGAATTGGGGCTTCGATTTTGACTTCAGATCTCATTTGGAGGGTTGCATGGGATGAAACGGAGGTTAGGCCTAGGAGAATGGTTGGGACCAGATATGTCCGGGTAGGGGGGCTTGTTCCTCCCTAGCCGCGAAAGCCCCATCAACTGCTCCGTCGTGCACACATCATGCACACATCATGCACACATCATGATGTTATTAGGCCCCCCCCAATGCGCCGCACGCACCCCTTACTTTGCCTCTCCTGGCCATGGCGTTCGCGTTTCGCTTTCTGCAGCTCCTAAGTTGCCTGTACGAAGCCCTGGCTGCTTCCGACACCGCCACCCTAACTTCGGAGTGCCTCTGCGGCCTCTTCACCGCCTGTACGGCACTATCCCGCGACGCCGCGGACGACGGCGATCAGAGCGACACCTCATCCTCATCTTCCGGGATGATTCTGGGGGAGGCCGTTGCCGTACATGGCGGCAGAGGCGGCGGACATCGACGGGCCAACTTACGCGAGGCTGCCCCGGGCTTTCGCAAGCCGCGGCAAATCAGCGGCGCCGCCGCATCCACCGGCGGGTACAACACCGGCGGACGACAGCCCGTCGCCGCGGCCGCGACCGCGGGCCGTGCCGCGGCTACTGGTTCACCTGATCAGCAGCTGTCCAACACACTGTTGCTCCAGCAGCTGCTACATGGGCTGCAGGCGCTGTTGCAGGGCGCGGCGATGGTTTACCGAGAGCAGCAGCACCAGCCGCCGCCGCCAGGGTCCATGGAGGGGTGTGCCTTCTGGTCGAGTTGGTCTGTCGGGCCGGTGTTGCAGGCGGTCTGCAATGTGCTTTGTGCGGCGGCGAGTGCGGTGCTGCCCGGGGCACTGCGAGGCGACGGCGCTCTGCAAGCCCAGTTCAATGCGTTATGGCGGCAGCTGATGGCGCTGCTGGACCATAGCAACCCCGAGGTGAGGGGCAGGGGGAGGGGGTAAGGTGAACCGCTGACGATTGGAACAGATATCAAAGGGGCAGGGGGAGAGGGAGGGGGAGAGAGAGGGGCAACGTGACAGTGCGGTGACCCGACGCCCCGTCGCCGGTTTGAGGTCCTTACTGCCGCTCATCCTAGAATGATGATGATGATGATAATGATGATGATGAGAGGAAGAGGAGGAGGAGGAGGAGGAGGAGGAGGAGGAGGGGAAGAGGTGTTCCCCCACTTCATGTCGTCACGAATCATGCTGCTGCTTAAGGGATCCCCATTGCTGCTCCCCAAGGGCTCCCCATTGACTCGCACTGCTCCCCAACAGGATGGGCCAGAGTCCTGCCCTCCCTAACCCCCCGACCGGTAGCTCCGGAACCAACGGGCAGTTGCATCATTGCTTTGGATTCCAGCATCTGGTTTTGCTCTGGCTTTTGGCAGTTGACTGACCTTCTGTTTCTTTTCTTTCCGTCTCACGTCATTACCCCGCTCGAATATCGTTCCGCCCGGCAATTCCCCACACCGTCGAGCAGGTTGCGCTGAGTTGCGTGTCTTTCTGGCAGGACACGTACCTGGCTCAGCTGATGGAGGCATGTTCCAAACAGGGTGATGGTCATGGGACCACCTCGCCGTCAGGGCCTACCGCTGGCGGTGGCGGTGATGGCGGGATGGTGGTGCTGCAGAGCCACCTGCCATTGCTGGCTCAGCTCCTGACGGGGCTGGTGTCGCGGGCGGCGCTGGGGCCGGAGGTGGCGGCGGCGGCCACGGCGGATGCCCGCGACCTCCCCGAGGAGGTCCGCATGGTGAGAAGGAATGCTAAGAGGGGGCCCAGACACTGTCATAATTGTTGTTGTTGTTGTTGTTGTTGTGCGGGGAAACGGATTCAAGGTTTTGAAAAGCCGTCCCGTGTGCTCCGTAGTGAAAACCTTACGAGGGGAACTTCTGTCGGGCGGAAGGAATCCTCCTTATATCTACTCCCTCCCGCAAAATGAAATGCAACACAAGAGCACTTCCAATGCGCTTCCTTCGTACTCCTTGGCGTCCACCCCCCGCTTGGCGTTTCGCTGTTTCGGAGCCTGCCTTACGTTGATCTGGGTCAGGGTCCCACCAGCCCTTGCACGAGCACCCGAACGAAGTGCCCCTCCTCTGGTTTCGTTGCCTGTCTTCTTTCCATTTTGTGTCGTGTGTGGTTTCCTCCCTCCCACCCCGCCTTAGCTTTAGACCACCTCCCGGCAATTGGCAGCGGTTGGTTCTTCTTCTTCTTCTTCGTCGTCGTCGTCGTCGTCTTCCTATTCCTATTTTGCATCAAATGTGATTTCCCCCTCCTGCACTGCCATTGTAGCGCGGATGCGACCTTGTGTGCTCTTGGGCGTTGCAGGTTCGCCGGGAGCTGGGAGCCACGATGCGGGACCTGGTGGGCCTTGTGGGCCTAGGCCACGTAGCTGCCTTCCTGGAGCGGATGGTTTCGGAGCATGCGTCGCAGCTGAATGCGGCCGCGGCCGCGGCTGCTGCTGAGGGTGTTGTCACCAGAGGCGGGCCAATGGCTCCCAATGCCGTCGCAGCGGCTGCTACAGCCGCCTCATGGACACGTCTGGAAAGCTCGCTGTATGCGGCCAATGTGGCGTTGTGTAGCGGGGCGCTAGGGGCCTCCGTCGGGATCATTCACAACAGCAGCAACAGCAGCAAAAGGTGTGCTTGCGTGTGGTTTGCGTGGTATTGATTTGCATGTGGAATGTTTTGTATGTTGTGTGAACAATTTGAACAACTCTAATCTGTGCGTTGATCTGTGTGTTGATCTGTGCGTTGATCTGTGCGTTGATCTGTGTGTTGATCTGTGTGTTGATCTGTGTGTTGATCTGTGCGTTGATCTGTGTGTTGATCTGTGTGTTGATCTGTGTGGCATGGAAGCCCCGGGGGGTGTGCGGCAACGCCGCAGGCGAAACATGCAACTGAGCCGAGGATAACCTCCTGCCGTACTCGGGCACTTGCCAGCGTCAACAGGTCTTTTGCTACCGTCCCTTCACTTCTACTCCCTTCACTTCTACTTCTTCTACTCCTACTCCTACTCCTTCTACTCCTGCTGATTACCCTCCCACTCCGCTTCTCACTATCCCTGACGCGGCTGCCCCCTAGGTTTCCCGCGGGCAGCCCCAGAGTCAGCAACACACCCACCGCCGCCAGCTCCCCGGCTGTGGATGACGCCCACGTCGCCTCCATCATCTCCACTGCCGCCGGTGCCGTCGTACACCCCGCCAGCTCCCTCAAACTTGCCGGCACGGCGCTGACGCTGGTGGGTGGCATGGCGGCGTGGTTTTCGGAGCATCCCCTGGAGCTGGCGCGGCCGCTGGAGGCGGTGCGCGCCGCGCTGGCATCGCAGGACGAGAAGCTGGCGCGCAATGCGGCGACGGCGCTGAACCGTCTCTGCGTGCATGGGGGCTGCGCGGCCCTGCTGCTGGGGCGCTACGCTGGCTGGGTGGACGGACTGCGGAGTCTGCTGCCTGGGCCGGAGGTGTCGCTGCGACACAAGCCCGGTGAGGAACTTGCCGTGTTGGAGACGCTAACGAGGGAAAGAAAAGCCGGGAATGGGGGGCTGCCAAAGCTTATAGCTATACTATAATAAAGTGTGCTTATGCACGTACTTAAGCCTGTTTGGATACATTACAGGTAATTTGAGCTCCGAGATTATCTTTTCGTCCCTCCCCCAGACGTGACGGGTCTCTTTCTCCCTTTCCCACCTTCCTGTCCTCCCACCACATTCAGCGCCTGGTGTGGATATGACCTCGAAGGAGCTCTTGGTAGCCTCCCTCATGCGTCTGGCCTGTAGCAGCATCAGCAGTAGCGTTCCGCCACCGCGGCAGCCGCACTTGCAGCAGCAGCAGTTTCATCATTCTGTGGCGCTCCTCCGTCAAGGTCCCTGTAGCTCTGGCAGGGATTTGGTGGCGGCGGCGGCGGCGGCGGCGGCGACGGCGCCCATGTCTCGTCACGGCTCTTGTGAGTTGGATGGTGACGGAGGCGGCAGCAGCGGCGGCGACGGCGCGCCTGCGCCTTGCGGTGCGCTGGCGCCACAAGTGCTGCTGCAGCAGTTGCTTGCGTCGCGGGTGTTGGCCTCGGCTTCGGAGCTGGAGCGCTTGGCGGCGGCGCTGGAGGGCGCGAATGCGCCGGGGACGCTGCAAGCGCATCTGCAGTTGTGGCGCATCAATCGCCAGCAACAGCAACAGCAACAATACATCCACACGCATCATCACAACCACCATCACACAAATTTGTATATATCGGCGCCTGCATCACACCTCTATCCCCATAATCAGCAACCGCAGCAGCAGCTGCTGCTGCTGCATTGCCAGCAGCACTGCCCGCAGCCGTGCCATCACCACGGGCACGTGCACGGGCAAATGCAGGGTCAGATTCATCGCGCGCAGGTGGCTTCGTCACCCGCCGCCCCTGCCGCCGCCGCTGCGGCGACTGCCGCCGCATCTCAGCGCATGCAGCTGTGCCAGCCTGGGTCGCCGCCGGAGCTACACCTGCTGGGCACCGCCGCGCTGATGGCGGCGCTTCGCCTTGGCGGGCTGGCAGGCATGATGCTATTCATACCTGCGGCAGGACAGGTGCAGGATATGGGTGCCAGCATGTCGGGCGGTCGCAGGGGGACCGATACGGCGGCGCGCGGGACATCGCAGGAGGCGGCAGCGGCACTTGCGAGTAGGGCGGCGTCGGCCACGGAGGTCGACGCCGCCGCTACCGCAGCGGTTGTGTCGATTGTCGTACAGGTTATCCGGGCGGTCTGGCCTAACCTGATGGCGTGTCTTCGGTCGAGCGCGTCTGCAGCCGGATGCGGTAGCGGCACTGCTACCGCCGTACCACAAGCGGTTGCTGACGACGCGGCGCGCGGCGGGACCAGTTTGTTGCTGGAAACATGCGAAGGGGCGCATCTTTTGCCGGCGGCCTGCTCGCTGGTCCACGGCGCGCTGCTGGTGGTCGCTTCGCCACATAGCGGCAATGGCGGCGGCGGCGGCTCCGCCGCTGCGGAGCTGCTTTCCTGCGCCGTCTGCCTCCTGGGCCTGGCTCACGGAACTCCACCAGTACCCCCGTCAGATCAGCAGCTCCATCATCAGCAGTGGCCGGCGAACCTGGACTGGCCCATGGAGCCGGGCGCTGCGACTTGGAGATCCGCCGCTGCCACGGGCGCGAGAGCAGGCGATGGCTTGCAACACCATCGTCCTCCTCATTATCATCAGCAGCAGGAGGCTGTGCGGCCGCTATGGCATGGCCCTCCTCGGTGCATCTTGCAACTGGTGCTTGGTTGCTTGCCGCTCTGCGGTAAGATCCTGGCACAACAGCAGCAGCTACAGCCGCAGCCGCAGCTGCTGTTGCACCAACTACTTAGTTATCATCATCATCATCATCATCATCAGCAGCAGCAGCAGCCACAGCAGCAGCATTATCAACAACAGGCAACGACAGAAGGCCAGGCGACTACGGTGGCGGAGCAGGCCGTGCGAGCGGCATGCCTTGTCGCCCAGAGCGCCTGTGCGAGCTTGCAGGTGGGCCGGGCTAAGACATGGTCCGGCTGGATCAGAGCTGTAAACAAGAGGGGCGGAGGCAACCTTTGGATACCACTGCACTGCGGCTTGGCACAGGACGAGGTTAGGGGGAACTTGCAGCGGCCCTCACTGAGCGCCGCCTGCCGCATCCAGCGAATGGGGAACGAGGTGACGTTCGCTGTGATTTACCAAACCAATCCACTGGCTGTTGAAAGGGGAAGACAATTTCTGTCTGAAAACAGGTTCTGAACAGGTTCTGAACAGCCGAGGGGACCACTATTCTGAAGGGGAAGGAAAGCCGCCACATATACCAGGAATGGAATAGCTGCTTAATCGAGTAGTTTGTGTCATACGTCCCCCTGCAGATTCGCATACAGGCCGTCCGCGTTGGGCGGCCCATGGGTCTCGCTCCTTCTAGTGCCACCGGAGCTGTCCCTCTGGTGCCGCTGGTCCTAGATTCGGAGCGGGTTCTTCACGTGGTGCCGGTGCTTCAAGCGTTGCTGCTGCACACGCCACAGGCCTTGGCGACGTCCAGGTGGGCGGGGGGTCCCATAGGGGGCGCGGGACATGGCGCGGGACGAGGCGAGAGGGGACGGGACGTCCTGGTACAGCAGACGCAGTTGTCGTCACTGTGCCGACACTGTGCATGCGTGTTTATCACGAGGCTGGTTGGGGCCCTACATGGTTCTGTATGTGCGCCTGGTTATGGGCATGCCTGTCTGCCGGCCTGTCAGTCTGCCCGTCTGTCTATCTGTCTGTGGGTTCTGTCTGCGTGCATGAGAGCGCCAATCATGCTGATGGCGCAACGCCGCTGTTACACCTCAACACAGGGAGCTCCTGGAGGGGTTCGTGGCGGCGACCGTAGCGAGCATCTACTGCCAAGACCCGGAGGCCTGCAGGGTGGTCCTGGATTGGACACAGCTACTGCTGTGTACGGCGGCGTTTGCGCCGCCGACAGCAGCTGCGGCTGCGATGGCGCTTCTGCCAGCAGGCCGGGCCGCCGGGCTCCTTGGACATGGAGCAGGAAGTCGTCGTGGTGGCGAAGTATCCGCCGCTGGAGGCAGCGGCGGCGGCCTGGCGGCGCTACAAGCGCGTTGCCTGCAGGTGCCAGGTCTGGAACGCGCCTTTGCGGGCATTGCATCGCAGCTAGACATGCCTTGCGCCTGCTGTCCTCCGAATGAAGCCGGCCTGGTTTATACTGTCGCGGCGGCGGAGGCAGGGCTTGCCGGCGGCCGCGCCGACGGAGGCAGTGACGCCGCCGCCGGCACATCGAACACACTGGTGGCGACGGGCAGCCTGGGTGCCGTACTTGTGCTGTCCTTGATGGTGGCGGCTGCGGGCGCAATGCCGCCGGACTTGTTGCTAACCGTGAGCACGTGCTTGCACAATGCCTGGCAAGCCATGGGCTCGTCGCGCTTTCGGACGTGGGTTCGTACGGCGGCGGTGGAGCTGTGCAACCCCGCCGGGGCCTCCGCTGCTGGCGGTATGGCGGCCGCGGCCGCGGCTGGACTGATGCCGTGGTCTCGCTTGAAGCCCGAGGTTTTGACAGCCTCATTGGACGAGCTTCTTGGTGAGGAGTGTGTGCGGGATGTATTGAAGTTCAAGAGGTCGCTCAAGATGCTTTGCGGTGGCAAGAAGAAGGGCGGCGGCGGTGCGTGAGGGCTGTGCGCTGAGGACGTGCTGTGGTGAGGAGACGCACAGTTAGTGAGACACGGAGGCGGCGGCATGGCAGGCATGGCGCAAGGTCAAGACCCCGCGAGGGAGATGTAGTGACGTACGGCACGTACACGATGTTGTTGTTGATGATGCGTTGTTGTTGTCATGTAGTGTGGGAACATGGAGGGGATGCATATGGCTGCTGTTCGGAGAAGAAATATTATACCTTCCAGTATTGCGTTTTCTCCATTGTTTGCATATGTGTGAGTATTGGTGTAACTATATGCATGCACGCAAGGGTTTATCCCGCCTTTTTATGGCTTTGGCTGTTTGCAGTGTCTGCGTACACTGGGCGGGGGGCGATAAGGGTAGAGGATGCTGGCTTGCTGGTGGGCGGCTTTGTGAGTAAGCATTACATGGGTACGTGCGTGTGCATGTTGGGGTGTGCTTTGATTTGAGATGGCGGTTGGGCCGGTGGAGATAGCGGGCTGCAGGCTGTCGCCCGGGTGTGGGGGGTGGGCGGGGAGGAGAAGGCGGAGTTTCTAGCGATGTAAAGGAACGATGGGCAGGGCAGGACAACACCCTGCTTGGTCTGAAACCCGAGGGGGGATCCTGGTCTGCTCCTTACGGGATTAAGGGATAAAAGGAACGTCGGAATACTGAAGAAATCTCAAACCCCAATGCATCGCGTTGCGTTTCCTTGATGGGCGACGACGGGATTTTCATCATGTGTTAACGGCGTGTAAAGTTGTGGAATTGCGTCGAATTTGGAACTCGGAACATAATGGTTCTGGAGCATAGTGGTAATAAGTGCGGTATAGTGCGGTAAACGAGAACGAGTTCGACCGGGCATGAAGAGCAGTGCCATAAGCTACTGCTGCTACTGCTGGTGCTCCTACATCTATTATTGTTATTATTATTATTGCTGTTATTATTGTCATTTTCGTTTGCTGTGCCTGTGCCTGCTGGAACGAAGGGGACTCTGATGGGGTATCATCCTGAATGTACGAGCAAAACTGTTGGGGGTTGTACGGTTTGGTGGGCTGCTGGAAATGTGTGAGTCGATGGGTCGAAGGGCTCGCAACGCGGCGCCACGACACGCCACATCGTTTGTTGTTTTGTTTGTTCGTCTGTTTGTTCGTCTGTTCCCCGTGTGGCTTTTTCCGGTCATGTCACGCTTTCTCAGACGCCGCCTCGCGTTTTGCCTTGAGCTTGGCCAGTTTCGAAAGGGCTCTGCGTCCTGTTACTGCGCCATCGCCTTTTGCCTTGAACCTAAGCTCAGAGGTTGATGATGCCTCATGTACGGATGAAATCTCATGTACGGATGCTGTATTAACTCGGGCTGAGGGTACTGATGTATTGGGACAGTTTTCGTTGCGAGCGAAAATGCTGTCCGGGTTTGGTTTAGCGTGTTAATCGCTGGTGTTCCGGTTTTTTTCTGTCGAATGAACACGTACCCGCCATGTGCGCGCCGCTGCTGGTCTGTCGTACACGTGTTGTACCGTGTGTGGCGGATCCATTCGCACACAATCGGTGTGAAGGGAGATGCAAAAAAATGGCTGTGGATGGCCAAGGCTTGGCTCGTGTTTATTTTGGGTGATGGTGTTGTGATGGACTCGGAGGGCGCTGCATCGAAATGGCCTTCTCAACTGTGTCGAATGCTGAAATCGCTGCAGCAGAAAGAATTTTCCTGTCTTGGTTTGACCGCTTATATGGCTTGATCAGGCGCCACAGGCGTCAGTGGTTTGCTTGCTGTGAGCTGTCTGGGTGATGGCCACAGTAGACCATCCGTTCTGATTTAGCTTGGTATGATCCAGAATCCTCCTACTTTCGTGCCGCGTCGTCGTATATTGCATCATTTCGACCTGCGCCTCCGCAGCTTTGACGTCAGCCTACGGCGTTTCAGCGCAGTGACGTTTGTTGCTGGGTTGCTTTCCCTTTCCTCCATGCACATGTACCAGGAAATGGCTCTGAGAGTGTGCTAGGTGTCAAGGTGGCTTTGGCTGGCTTCTGTGACAAGCGTGAAGCTGGCTTGTCTCTCTCCACGACTCGCCACGAAAAACAAAATGTCCACGATTGCCGCGCGGCTTGAAGTTTGGATTTGTGTGCACTAGGGAAAATTGCCTTGTGGTGATGGGCAGTACGGCTATCCGCCAAAGAGCCGTACATGGGTTTGAATCGTTCGGCATGACGCGAGATGAATCCCCAAATGTTGATGTTGAGTGTTTTGCAGATTTAATTTTCTGTTTGGTTTTCAAAGATGCTTTGCTTTGCAGTGTTTAAAGAGGTTGCTCAGCGGGCTCCATGGTTTGTGGATTAATGAGAGCTTACGATCTTGTTGGTTCGTACCTTGCCTTGCAGCGCAGCTACTGCTAATTCTGGTGCTGTTAAGCTGCTGCAGCTGTTGCTGCTGCTGTTGCTAATACCGCCGCAAATGGCTGTGGGCGGATCCCGTAGAGTTGTGGATTGCAGTTGCAAAAACGTAATGGCGGCGTTGGTGGATGAGGGTACGTTGATGATGGCGATGATGATGGATTTAAGATCGTGAGCGGCACATTTGTGGGCTTTTGCAAGCTTTTGATGTGCGAATGCTGCTGCGCTATTTTGATGCCGTATCTTCAGATTGGCAACAGGTAGGTGCGGTCAGTTTGCTCACGACGTCGTCTGTACATCATGAAAACGTGTGTGTTTGTGTGTGCGTGTGTTTGTGTGTGTGTGTGTGTGTGTGTGTGCGCGTACACAAATGTCTGTGTGGGGCGGCTGTTTGTTTCTGAGAATGTGTCCGAGAGGGCGTTATTGTCCGCTAGGGTGTTTGTGTGTGCTAGCATGCATGTACAAGTGCGTGCGTTTCCAGGTAGCACGTGCGCTTGTGCATGTACGTAATTGCGCGTGCTGATAATGGGAAGGAAGGGGGGACGGAAGGGGGCATTCACGTGGCGTGGCGTGACGTGGGGGAAGGGGACTGCATGGGCACGTGTACGCGTGTCAGCTGTGGGAGTGCCGTACATCGTGCACGGGGGCCTTTGGAGGTTTTTGCGGTTTGGTTACTGTACATCAGTACGAGTGTGCTTGTGGGTCTGTTAGCCCCGTTGCGTGCGGGTTTCGGCCGCTTGCGGTACTGTCTGGCCTTGGTGGTTACCCTTCCGAAGGGTTTCCGGGTTCATCTTGCTTTGCTTTGCAAACCATGGAGCGTGGTGGCAATTATCTTTTCCTTGCGACCCGGCCTGCACGGCAGGTATCATGAAAAGTGTGCATGCCGGAGGTAGTGTGCCCCAATGTACGGCCTAACCGAGACCGAGATATGCTTTCCAACTAAAAGGAATGGGTTAGACGCGATGAAGAGGGAAAGGAAAGGCCCACAACGATCTTTATCGGGCGATGGCACGGAGATGGCATGAGCCGCTTCGTATTTTCCACGACGTGGGAATATATGTGGATGTGGATGTGCGCGTCAGGGTGTTTGGGGATGCTTGTTAAGTTCCTCGGCGGTTGACGGGAGGACGTGGCGCAACTTAAGTCGCTGGGGATGTCGATGTCAGTCAGCGGTCGGGGAGCCTTGTAAATAAGGAAATGGGTTTGGGGCTTGTCATCGGCCGCGCGGTTTGTTGTTGGTGCCTTCCCCAGTTGTTGATGTCGAGTTGGATTCTGGCAAGGAGCCCCAACCATCGTGAATTTTTCAAGATTACATCTGTTCAGTATTCAGGCTGTAGTAAGAGCGAAGAAAGGGTGTTGGTGTTCCGTACGCAACTATCCTCGACGACTGGCATCATGGCGCATGTTGTGAAAAGGAGGACGGAAAAAGAAAAGGTCGCGGTCAGGTACTGACCAGATCGGCCAGCCAAAACAATAGAATTCTGGGTTAAGACGCCGGCAGCGCCGATAATTAGATTTATGAAAGACCTCCGATTAAATGTTTTCATGATCGGAACGTGCGAGATTCCGGAGCCTAACTTCGCCGCCGCAGCTTGACTTGCCACCGAGCGCATCCACGACTCTAGACAACGGTCAACGCCAGAATCAAGACTCCCGGCTGGTCAACACCCCCTTTCCAAATGCCCGCCCAGATTGCGCCCATACTCCCCTGTCCCTCCTCCACATCTTCAAATTGTTGCTGTTGTTGTTACAGAGTGGGAGGCTTCTGGGCCAAATGAACACCTCAACAATTCTACGATATATCCCCATACAGCACCATCCAACACATCGTCACATACAAAATATGCCACATCTGATCTGAGTGAGCTGACCAATGGCAGCGCTATCACTCAACGCCAGCTGGGTGGGTACCTTGCGATTGCGCAAATCATATCTCCTGTGTTGGTGGCAGTAGTCAAAGTGGCAACGTTGCACACGATCATAGGAGCGACAGCTGCCACAGCAGCACCCGCAGCTTATTTGGTGCTAGGAGGTACACGTCCACTTGTGAAGCATCTGGCTTGGCCGTGCTCGGCTGCGGAAAAAATACACCGTGTCGTACGCACATGCACGATACTAAACTCCTCGTGAAGGCTGTGGCCTTCTCAACGCGTGTTGCGCTCGAAGCGGCTCTGGCCGTTCATGCCCTGCTATGTTTGACCCCAAAAGGGATCCTTCGCCAGCCTAAGCCATAATATGTCGATACAAACACGGTACAGTTAACCAATCAACAAACTTCTACACCAAACATACATACATACATACATACATACATACATACATACATACTGCTCGGTTCGTTCGGTCGGCAGGAAGAGCCCCCCAGTTGCGACTTCGTTTATGTTAGGAGACCAACGGGCATAGATCCCGTCTAGTTGGAGCGCCAAACAAGCGCTGTTGCGTGCCGGCCGTCGTTTCCCGTGCGGCCTGACCCGGGGGCGGAGTGCATGAGACTAACCAGCCGTATGCACCCGCCCCCCGCGCTGTGCTTCGGCCCTGGGCCCCCGGCTTTTCAGCCCACAGTGTAATCAACGTCATACATACATACATACATACATACATACATACATACATACATACATACATACATACATACATACATACATACATACATACATACATACATACATACATACATACATACATACATACATACATACATACATACATACATACACACATGCACAAACGTTGCACAACCTCCACAACACAGACTGTTCTTATGGCATACAACACTGCCGCATATAATTCTTTATCAGGTACGGCAGCATTTGGCGCCGGACCACATCCTTCTAAAATTATGACCGGACCAACCGAGGGCGGCATCTCATGGCTGGTCAAAACTCACATCCCACGCCACCTATCCCTGCAGCTCGGATAGCGACACGGAAGACCGCAGTGGTTTTCGTGAGAGGTTATTCCACCCGGATGCTTTGCAGTTTACCCTGTGAAGGCTGTGATTCGGCATGGTTGCATGCACGTGCTCGGGCCTGTTTTGGCAACACCATATCTTCGTGCCTATCATCGTTTTATATCGTTATGCTTTAACAACAAACATATGTATATACCGTAATACAACACAAAATATGTATCGGGGCAAACGTGAAATTGTTCAACAATGCGTTGCTGGATTTTTTTTACCGATACCGTGCAGTTTCCAACAAAGCATAATCATAACATCGACCGGCGTTGTAATTAGGCCTGCAGTGGGTGCGATGGCGCCAACCTACGAAACTAGATGATTACGGGGCATGTATGTACATGATGGAGATGCAATGCGTCCTCTTTCTCCTATAACACGCACACGCATGCACGTTTCCTTCCTGAGCACCGCCTCCTTTCCCCCCCACGCTGCTAGGCATAACTCCCTCTATCAGAGGACCCAGAACCGGACTCTGTTGGGTTGTTGGGGAATGCTTTCCCCTTCCCGTCCCTTCCCTTCCCGTCTTTCACTCTCATTACCCTCCTCCAAGCCACTGTTCCCCAGTATTTCTGTTTTTGCGCGGATTAAACTCCCGTCGCCGCCATCGCCGCTGTAGGGCTACCCGCCGCCACTAGTAGTCCACCACCGCCACCGCTGCCGCCGGCGCCGGCACCGCTTGTGCGCGGGCCACCGGTACGGCCGGCGGCGCCGCGCCGCCCCTTTCTCCCAATCGCGCGCCTAAATACGGCCCTAACGTGACTCCGTACATCGACCTCGGGCGGCACGTGACTCAGCAGTGCGCTTTGGCGGGTGGCGTCGCTCCGAAGCCGAGCCAAATGCGGCCACAGTACGAACATCAAGTACAGGATTATCAGGGCGATGGTGACAGCCAGCAGGATCTGTTTCGGCGGATAGAAAGCCAACGGGGTACAGTTGGAAGGCCATGCAGTGCGGGGACAATTCGGGAAGCAGGTGCTGGGTCAACACCAAAACTCTGGGAAACGAGGTTTTAGGAATAACATTGACATCAACAACGACGACCACAACAACAACAGTCCCTCTCCCTTCGTACCGTATGCAAGGTGCCCACTTTGTTGTATTGGGAAATGGAGTAATCCACAAACAGCTGGGCCGCTTGCTGGAGCCCCTCGTACAGGTCGTTCGCCGCGACCTTGTATATGAACATGTAGCTGTGAGTTGTCGTATGGCCGCGAGTAAGGGTGGGGGTGCATGTGTGGAGGTCAGGATACAGGTGCATGTTACTGTGGGGAAAGGGTGGCATTCTGTGTGTGGGGGAGGGGTAATTTCTGTGAACAAAAAATGTAACGTGCTGTAACGTTTGTACGGATGAAGGTGCGCCATTGTGTGTGTGGGAGGGGATATCCTCCCACCCGCCGTGTCAAGGCGGCTGGGTGTCGAAGCCGGCCCTGGGGCAAGCTCGGTTTGAATGGCTGCATGCGCGCCGGGGGCTAAGTCGTACAGCCGTACATCAAGTTACGTTCACAAAGTCTTATATTCGTACCGTGTGCCATTGTATGCCACGTCTTCATCGGCGTCCGCTACTAACAAGTTCATTTCCGACAGCATTCGCCGGACCATCACGTCCAGTCCGTTGTGTGTCACCTGCAACGTACACCACGAACGTACATTAGGGTTGTAAATATCTTCCGTACATCATGATAACATACAGCGCCAGGGCTACCAGGCTTGCAAAGGCTTTAACATTTCGCAGCAAAAGCAGCAAAGGGCACTTTTGCCTGCGTATAGCTGTGCTGCACACACAGAGTCCTGGCACGCACAGTACACATTATTAGCCTGGCCCCGCTCGGGCCCTCTCGGGCCCTGGGCACCATTGGACACCTTTGGTACCCCTCTGCTGCACTCTTTCATAACCGTCACCGCAACCGTAAGTGCCGTACCTCATAGTATTCGTCCCCCGGTTGTTGGCAGTTGGATTGGTCGTACTGGAAGCAGCGTTTTTCACGAAAGAATTCGTTGGCAAAGGCTGTCGAGGCGAAGGTGCTTGGAGGCACGGCGTGCTGAAACACCGAGTGGAGCTGACATCGGATGCGCGGTATGGGGAGCAGCGGTGACGGGATGTTAGTGGAGGAGGGGAAAAATGGGGGCACGGCGAAGATATTTTGGAACGTGCCGTATGCACGCATGCGGGACAGAGAGGTTTTAGAAGGCGGGGCCAAGCGCGCCAAGACCGCGAGCAATTGGTTTTCCAGCAATTGCGAGCTGTCTGTACCTCGCGAGAAAGTGGAGGTGAGTGTAGCGACACAGGCACCAGGTCGGGACGGATAAGGAGTTGAAGCATTCAGAGATGCACGAAGACCTGGCCGGCGTCCGAGACGCAGATGATTTGAGCCTTCTCCGGTTATGAAGACCTCAAGACCCGCTCTTTCCCCCCCCCCCCCACACACAGACACACAGACACACACGTACGCGTCCTGAGTGCGGTGCCTTCTAACCAGGCACTTCCCGATCTCGCCATGGGGGAAGGGGAGGCCGAATTTACCTGGGTAATGGGTACGCCGCCGTACATGAGCGCGTCGTACTCGCTTTCAAAGTACCGTAATTCCGTGCGGAGCAACTCCCGCCACAGCGACCTCGCTGCCGCATCGTCCTGAAGGTGAACCGTCACCGCACACTCATACACACTCATACATAGCAACCCAGGCGTTAGGAATCTCTTCCTAACATACTCATGCGCATACATACCCAACACCGTTCCAAGCTGTACCTGTGACACGAGACCAAAAGCGACCGCGCGTACTCGGGTGTAGCGGTAGATGACGTGAGAGGCCATGTTGAGTGAGGCCAGGGGCCCTTGCATGCCGTTGAGGTCCAGGAGTGAGACCACGTACACTATGATGAGGGCGACGTTCCATAGGGCGAAGGGCAGCTGCGGAGGGTGCGGGGGGGAAGAAGAGAAAAGTAGGAGGGAAAAGGGAAGGTGCGTGTGTGAGTGGGAGGGCTGGTGAGTGCCGTGTGCGATTATAGAGCTTATGTGTGGATGGCTTAGGTAATGCTGTGCGTCTTAGCGGGGGTGAGCGAGGGGCAGCAGTGGTGGCGGTGGTGGTGGTCTGGGGAAGAGAGGGGGAGCAACTGGTGGGGTGGAATTCAAGGTCGTGAGAGAGCCGTACCAGACCCTGATGGGACGGTGGCGATGGGAACGCAGAAGCTAGACATTCCTGGCACAGTCCTGACACAGTGGGCCCAGCATGCGCCCCATAAACCGCTTTTGCAGGTCGTTGTTGTTTACATGCTCAGCGCGAACTGGGCCCCCGCTCCAGTCATCGACCTTCATTAATACCATCGAATCGAACATTCATGTGCAGCAGCAACAGCAACAACCCTCCCTCGACCTTGGCACAACCTCACCATGAACTTCGTGATGTTTGCAGCGGACGGAACCAGAAGCTTGCCGTTGATCCGTATCCCACGAGACCGGGAGATTCCGCGAGAGGGTGGCTGGCTGGACCCACCATCAGGGACGCCCCGCATAACTTGCTGCAAATCCAAAACATAATAGTTGTGCACAGGGCTGACTGAGGTCTTCCCATGCGATTCACACATGTATGTAATCGTCAAATGCTAAAAAATTTTAGAGTGCGCGTTCGAACCCTAAGTGGTAAGCAATGGGCTGTAATATATACTGTACTGTATACAATGTTTTAAGTGACGCCAGCGACAGAACGAGGCGTCAGCACAGCATGACCGAAGTTTTGCTTAGTACGATGCCCCAACAAAACCAATGTGTGCGCCCCATGCCACCCACCATGTCACCGCCTTTGCTAGCACCAGGACCCCCAAGTCCGCCACCGCCGCCACCGCCAACGGCCTGGTTGGTGTTGATGCCATCTCCAGACCAAGAGGCTCGCCGTATGCCCTGCTTCTTTCCGGAGGCCTGTACGGCGCCAACAGGGGATCCCACTCGTACCAAATCACCTGCCGCTGCCGCCGCAACGGCACTACCGCCGCCGTCGCGTGCATCCGGTGGTGTCCGGACATGTCGGACATTGCGTGCAGGGCTGGCGTCCGAAGCCGGCGGTGACGGATCGGCTTTCTTGACGCTCAAGAATTTTAGGGGCCGGGAGGGGGGAGCGACGGCTGCGGCTTCGGGGCCGCTGCTGCCGCCGTCGCCGCCGCCACCGCCATCGCCGCCGCGCCTGGTGCCATCTCCTTCCGCCTCTATGCTCAGCATCTTGTCGTTGCCGCTCGTGGCGGCGCTGCCGCCGCCGCTGCCGCCGTCACGCTCTCCGCCCTCCTCCCCGCCGTCAGAGCTGTCGTCATCATCGTCATCATCACTATCATCCAGAACCTGGATTGTAACAAAAACAGCACAACATGACACATGCATGCGGGCAACTAGAAATATAAAGGCTGTCCTTTATAGAATTGGCTGTTATGTATGCCCCTGCAAGCCTGGCGATAAGCTGCTGGTTGATGGCAGGTGCTTCTCGCCAAGTGCCTTTATGGAGATCATTCGGATTGTCCTTACTTGTCATCAGGCTTACTGTTACGGCGAAGCAGTCTGGACTGTTCGGTTAGTTCGACATAATTTTCCTTTTCAAGCGATAGGACTATAGGTTTTCCTTATGCGCTTTTACGATATCTATCTATTTCGGACAACCTTCGGCTTTCCTTTGGGCCCCCTCATGGCTTGTATGGGCCTGTTACACCCTTGGAGAGTGACCCAATTACAGGAGGTGTAACACACATTACATAACGACAACCCAAGCCCACCCACCCATCCACCCATCCACCCATCCATCCATCCACCCATCCACCCATCCACCCATTCACCCATCCACCCATCCACACCCATACAAACTCCGGACCACACGGCAGCCATCGCCAGTCTGTAGTTTGATCTGCTCGCTGGCTCACCGCCAACCCAGGTCCATTCGCATCACACGGCCCACACGCGCCCACACGCACCTTGGCCTCCTTGGTCGCCAGCTGCCTCAGCACTGGTCCCGGAAGACCCACCATCGCCAGTATGCCCACAAGTCGCGCCCTCTCCAGCCGCTGCACCAGCACCCACTCGTACGCCAGACAGCAGCACTGGACGAGCAACGGCTCCACCACCAGCAGGGTGATCAGCGCTGCAGAACGACACCGGGCGCGTGGATGGGAGGACAGGCGGGCGAGAGACGTCGAGGCAATGGCGGATTAGAAATATCGTGAATGCCGGGACATTGAGGGAATAGGTACGAATTCAAAGGTGTTAAAGGTGTTTGTGAGTTCCCAATTTCCGCACGAATGGGGGCCCCGTCCGCCAAAGCCCGAGGCCCAGGGACGAAATATATTGAGAGGTAATTACGCCGTTCGAACATACGAACTGAAAGTTCAAGGCGGAACTGAATCCTGCCATCTAGAATCCCGTCTCATCCCGTCACACGAACAACCGTAGAGGCAGAGGGACTCCAGCCATTGCCACCAATCCATCATACGAAACTTAATCCATCATCTGTGCAGCTAGCCATAATCTCACATCCTCGTCCAATGTCACTGCTATATGCTGTGATGTTACCAGACGTACAGGTGCCAAGGGGACTGGGAACGAAGGCAGGTGTAGCTGACTGACAATCACGCACTCCACCTGCCCACACAGCAGCAACACCTGCCTGTCCGACCCACCTATACGCAGCTGGTCGACTGCCTTCCAAGCAGCATCCACCAGCAGGTCCAGAGACTTGGCGTAGACGGTGAACAGGGGCCCCAGGCCGTTGTCCACCAGGAACTGATAAGTGCGGTGCAGCCTGATGGGCGAGGAAGGAAAGGGAAGGAGAGGCACACGGGGGAAGCGATGAGAGGGGTGGCAGGCGATTAGGAAGGTAAGATTGGACCCAGTTTTATAATCCAGATCCATGATTTAGATCCAAGATCCGAACATGAGCTGCAAAATTGGCGGAGGTGAGGCGGTGTGGAAGAGGAGGAGCAGGAAATGGGGGGATTTGGCGACCGGAGGCGGATCCTTGGATGAGTTTCGCCACCGGGTGGTGAGGGGATGCACGCCTGTGTTCAGTCAACATTCAGGCGCGGATCTGTATCACGTCATCTATCAGAAGTTTGGACCCATCAGAAGTTTGTTCTACGGCCCTGCAACAGCAGCAACAGCAGATTTTCAGCCAATCATCAAATCAGGGTCTGCTACACGTACCTGTAATTGTCCCTAATGGTACGCAGCCAGTACAGCGCCTCCCTCGCAGCTGCGATGTAGCGGTTACCTAACACCCAGGCGCCCGTGGCGCCCGTCAAGATGCGTGGAGTGGCAGTATCCATGTACGAATGATACTCGAGCTGCTGGGATGTCCAAATATCGTACACCTCCGGCATGAGCTTAATCACAGCTGTACGGGACTCTCCAAGGAACACGAATTGGTGGTGTTTTTCCTGCGGGGGAGGTCATTAGCGTTCCATTGGTTTCGTTTAGAGTTCGTTAACGTTGTTGCTGCTTTGAATTGGTTAGGGTTCGTTAGTTGGTATTAGTTAGGGTTGTGTGGAATGGCATGTAGGGCAGAAAGTGGTAGTGTAGGTTGGTTTCTTCTTATCTTCCGCTTCCTCCACAGGTCTCCTCCTTTACGTGGGTGGGTAATTGACGACGGCTGGGTGGGCTTCGACTGAGGCCGCCCCTGTCGCGCTCCTGGAGGAGTCCTCCCCATGCTCGTGCCAGGTCTGGCTTTTCTACCCTTCAGGCGCTAGGCCTCACAAACACAGATACCTGTGAAACACAGATACGCACATACATACGCACGTACATATACACATGCGGTAGGATGGATGAACTCACCATTAAGTTGACATTCTCGCGCAATTTGTAGAGTGTGAAATTCAGGCTGCGTTGCATGGAAAGCGTAGTGGGGGCGGGGGGAACAGGAACACAAGACTGATGGCAAGGAAAGGATGGGCTATGGGCAGCTCGACCGGGCCCCAGCATTAAGCAGTCCTTTTACTCGGGGATTAATGCAATGCAGTGCCGTCACGGTGGCTGAATGTACGGCAACACTCGCCATTGATCAACAGCCCTCTACCCCTCAAAGGGTACCCTTTCCCCTTCCTCCCCGGAACAGCCTCCCAGACGCCACCCACTTGCCTGTTTGCGCATACGGACACTTTGGCAGTCACATTGTCCCTCTCGCAGTATGCGCCCATCATGGCACGGACCTGCGTATTTAGAAGCCACATTACACATTACACATCGCACATTGCATATAGCTTGCTTGTGCATCTTAACCCAATGTGGAACGGCGAAAAAAAGTGAGCCGTGTACGCAAGGATGCACACATGGATGCAGCTCTTTAATAATGCGGCGACACGAGCCGTACCCATTCACGATGAAGACAACAATCAGCGGGTCAGCACTCGACGACCGGTACTGCTCTCCCATGCACATACATGTACGTGTTACTAGGCCGACGCCAGCCAAGCACTCAAGCAGCACCTGGTTCCTTCGCCCCCATGATAACGAAGATAGCATTTGCATCTCACCGCAATCAGTTGGGACCGGTCCATGGCCAGGGCCTGCCGGTGCACCAGATTGACGTCGCTGAGGTGCAAAGCAGCGCGGCGGCAGACGGGAACGACAGGTTAGCCGGCTTAGAACGTTGGCATGGTCGGGCAGGCCGGCAGGCTTAAGAAAGGTGGGGGGTGGCATCCGTGAGTGGGTGGTTTGGGCATGCGGGATGTACGGGTATACCTAGCCTGTTGAGTAGGTTTGTATTTCATGCAGCGTCAGGCGCTGTGGCCTTTGGCTCAGCTCCTTTGCTTTCTGGCGTAGAATCCTGGTAGACCGCTGAAACATCAACAACAACACCCCGATATCATATAACTCCGCTATCCACCTATCGCGGCAGGAAAGGGGACACGAAAACACACTCACGGGCATGCACATACGCCCCACACATCACCGGCACATCACATACAGACGCACAGCCCTCTCACTGATGCTCACTGGTGCTGCTCCTTTATCAGGAGGGTCACGACGATGTAAGCCACAATGTGGGTAGTCAGCATGACCGCCAGCAGTATGTAGCTGTGCAGCCGCAACCTCTCCATGGGGGTCATCAAGTTGGGACCAGCCAGCTGCTTGGTAAGAGCCTTGAGCAGCTTCCATCGCCGAGAGTCGATGATTGGCTCATTGGCCGACTGGGCGTCCGTGCTGCCTGCATAAAGGCAAATTAAGCGCGAATGGGATCTGATGAGTGAGCGCAAAGCTGGTTGGAAAGGAGCGAGCAGAGTGCGCACGCAAACGCCCCTGTTAATTATAATTGTTTTTTTCCCGTCACCGTCCTTCCATGTATGTCCGCTTCTGTCCTTTCCTCTCCTTTCCTCTCCTCTCCCCTCCACTTGCATCAGGAAGCCTGCTGCTCCATCCCGTCAGTGCTGACGCCTCCGTCCCCCGCACCATCTTCGAGTCATAAACTCATCACAGACCACAAGTAAGTAGTCGTGATTCCCACGTGGTGTAACGCAGCTAATATCTGGTAATCGACAATCGATATCGACCAGGGAAAAACAGCAACCGAACAAACAGTCGAATCACCAACCGACGGCCAAGTTTCAACGACGACGGGCTGGATATCCACTCACTTGTAATGCCGCTGGCCGCTTGGCTTCCCTCTGTACTGGACTCTCCCCCCTCGCTGCCCTTCTCCCACTTTTCTCCTCCTCCCCTTCCTCCTCCTCCTCCTGCATCTTCACTGCCGCCGCCACCGCCACCGCCGCCGTCAATACGGCCGCCATCTCCACCCGCCGCATTGCCGTCCAAACCGCCAGGCGGCGACCCATCGAACGACTGCCGGCTCCCCACCAACGCGGGCCCGCCGGACCATGGCTCCAGATCATCCACCGTCGACGCTCCGCCCCGTCCGGACAGAACTCGTGTGAAGGCGAAGGACTCTGCCGCCCGCCGCCGGCTCTGTGCCGTGTCTAGGAGACCGCCCCCGCCAGTGGTGCTTTTATGCTCCGGGATGCTGGCTAGCATGGTAGATGGCTTTCGCTCCGGACCTAATAACGCACCCAGGGATGGGAAACCGCCGCCACCGCCGCCGCCGCCGCTGCCCGTCTTTGACGTCGCCGCTGGGAAAGGGCCCGCGGCGGCGGCCCCGGCAGCAGAGGTGTTGTCAGCTGCCGGGTGGCTGCCAGCACCACCCACAGCTGCCGCTGCAGCGCTGCCGGCAGCGGTGGCGGCAGCGGTGGCGGCAGCGGTGCTCGGTCGTTCTGATATCGGTAGCTGTGCGTCGTGCGGGCCGCTGCGGCGCCTAGTGATGGTCCGAACCCACTGGGCGACAAACTCGGACTTGCTCGCTGCAGGGTTGGAGCAGGGACGCAAATGGAGATTGGTTGCACCCAGAGAGTGTACCAGTACTCACCAAGGGAATGTTTAAGAGAGAAAGGCAGGAGACGGAGCCAGATACTTTGGTGCAAACGGGGCCTCTGGCACAAGTTTAGCATTTGGAAACTAGACACATCTAAAACCTCGAGCTCCATTAGACCCATCAAACGGTTTCGTCGCCATGCAGCTATTAGTGCGTGATTACAGGGATAGGGGAGCAAGCCGCCATCATCATCGCCGAGGCCACGCAAGGCAAAGGCCAAGGCACGACAAGAAACAGGGTTCCCGGGAGCTTTTTGCCTTTCGCCCGCTAATATGCCCACGCGAGTAAGGAACGTAGGAACGCAAGTTGGAATCAAACCAGGTGTGGGAGGCCATCCCCCCAGCTGTCAGACGGGGCGATTTCGCACCTGCACGGCTGAGGATTTTGGCCTGACCCTCGGCATCCAGATCCCGGCTACCATCGGAGCTGCGCCTGCGCCGTCGGCCACCGCTGTCGCTACTGCTGTCGCTGGAGGTTTTTCCCTCTCCGTCGCCGTCGCCGTCGCCATTGCTTCTATCGCCGTCACCATCTCCATCGTCGTTGCCTTCGCCTTCGCCTTCACCGTCGCCCAGGCCCTCGCCCTCGCCGACGCCGCTTTGGGCCGCGACAGCGCCTCCTTCCTCCGCAGCCTCCAGCTGCCGCTCTGGCCCCCCATCAGCCCTCGCCGCGCCCTCCATCGCCGCCGCCGGCGGCGGTTGGCCCCCCGTCGCTGCCGTGCCTCGCCGCGCCACGCTTCCCGCTTTCGCATCCAACAGGACCTTGACGTGCTTCCCACCGTCTCCACACCCGCCATCATCTCCCGTCTCACCGAGTGCAACCACCTTGCCGCCTCCGCCGCCTCCGCCTGGCCTGTTGGCCTGCTGGGAGATCTGCTGACGCGCTGACTTTGCCAGGAAGAGGGCTGCGTCCAGATGGAGTACCCGCATCAAGTCGGCGTGTGCCCCGGCGTAGGTGGTGTCCGGGTGCAGAGTGACAACCACCTTGGAACGGCCCCCGGGCGCAAGCACCTGCACGCCCTGCGCTCAGCATGCACAGCATGCGTTACATTCACGGCATCCCACCCATCTCATTATTTAGCAACACGTGGAGGAAAATGATAATGTGCTGTCGGCTGCTGTCGGTTACTCTATATCTACATCACGGTAATTTCTATGGTCATGCTGCTGCATCATGGCAGACGCGCGGCTGTTTTGTGCAAATCGTGCGATGAGCACGTACACCTACCTGTACGACGATGCGCATGGTGCCAGTGTCGGGGTGCGGCCCGATGAAGGTCATCACGGGACTGATAACTGCGCAGCTGCCGGAGGACTTGAGCGCGCTGCGCTGCTTCTTGTGTTTTGAGTGTTCATCAGATAGCTTCTGCCAGCTTGTGTCGGCGGGGATATCCAAGAACCTGCATGCAGGTGGCGGGAATGTGTCACACACAGGTCCGTTGGAATATGGAAACACGCATAGCGAGAAATAAGGTGGACTGCATATCTGTGTTTGTACGTGCCTTTGGTTGCCATGCATTCTGCCTGTGTACATGCACACGTACATGTGTCCCGCTTCCTTCCTTCATATATTTCTTATCGTGCGCACTCCAACATATCGCGGCCTGTGGTCTGTGGTCTGTGGTAGCTGGTAGCTGGTAGCAACGTGGTACTCTGAAACACGTGCCGCGCTCTCTTGCCTCTGCCGACATATAAACCGTAAGACCCGCACCCCTCCTAGCAGATAAAATGCTACGTGCCAACTTTCCGTTATAAGGAGACGACTTGCATTCAGCAGGCAAGGTGCACTATCGTTACTCACCTCTGTAGCGGTTTCCTTAGCATGGCAGTGGAGGGCATCCCAACGATGAGTCCCGTCATCGGACTGGCTCGCCGAATCACAAGCTCATCATCAAGCTCCACAACTCCGCTCAGAAGGTCCCTTCTCCAAAGCGTGACCCGAATACGGGCGCCGTACACATCTCGTGAGGCCGTAGCAGAGCCCTCCTTCCCCACGGCCGCGTCCTCATCACCCCCGCCGCCATCGGCCTCCTGCTCATACAGTTCGTCGTGCAACTCGACCTGGCGGCGGATGAGAGGGACATCGGACACGGTGAGTTGGCAGAAAGTGAAACATGGGAGAGTTGGGACACGCGCGCGCCTCGCTGACTGTGTGGTCAAGAAAGGTACCGGTCTTCCTCTTCGCTCTTTCAACACCATTTTTCTATACCATCATCTAACACCCTGAGGAGGAGGAGGAGGAGGAGGAGGAGGGAGAGGAGGAAGAGGGAGAGGGAGAGGAGGAGGAGGAGGAGGAGGAGGAGGTAGAGGAGGAGGAGGAGGGAGAGGAGGAAGAGGGAGAGGGGGAGGAGGAGGAGGATTCACGCACACGCCCTCACTATCTCGAAGCCCTCGCTGGTGCCACTTCAAGAGTTGGAGGCACTTTGAGCGGCGGCCTCAGTCCCTTCAGGGGGTATGTCGGATGCACGCGTGGCTGCTTGGTGGAGCCCATCCATGCACATTAGGCACAGCGTAAAGACAGGACTGCCCGCTTCCCGCTCCTCATACCAGCAGATAAAGAGTCCTCGGGGGGAGGCAGGTGTTGTAGGTAGGTGGAGTAAGGGAAACAGGGGATTGTCCATTCGTGCACCAGCTCTATCTGCCACACACTACCCTTTCATTCCCACTATCGCCATGACAGCCTGGTTCCTCGCCACCAACTGCCAACGCGTGGTGTACCACACACAAGCACATATATATAGATATGCATAGCATTTGAGTCCTTACAATAAACTTCACCCCGTTTTTCGCACCTGCAGGCAGGCGGATTTGGAACCTGCGCTGGGGGCTGCTGCGCCCTTCAGTGCGGAGGGTCTTTTGATGCTGCTTCTGTTGCGTTGCAACAGTGGATGCGATGTGGTTTCGGAGATGGGCGGGTGGACACGGACCCGCCAGGACGTGCCTGCAGACATGCACGTCGTGATTTTGCGGGGCAGGGTTGTGGCGTGGGGGTCTCTCTATATGGGCAAGATATTCATGAATCCGTCTGGTCTGGTGACATGTAGCTTGTAACTAAAATTACGAAGGCATGAAGAGGAAATAGCAACTGTAGAGTAAAGTAATTCCTCGGGAGGTGGACACCGGGCAATGGCACCGGGTTCGGGGAAATGAAGGGGAAAGGTACGGCGCTGTGTAAGGGGGTGACCGCTGTCCGGTGGCACGCGGTCGTCCGTGCGAACGTGAGTGCAAGCAGGGGGGGAGGTAGGAGAGTGCAGTGCCGGAACAGACGGCTACAGGCGATGTGTAACTTTACCGAATAGTCGGGCAGGCGCTGCTGCGGCAGGCGCAGATATAGGAGCCTGTCGTTAACCCTAAAACGCATCTGTGTGGGACAACCCTCCGCGCCTCACCCCTGACTCTGCTTTCAGTGCTGGATAACGGCCAGTTATACATGACGACTAACGCTGGCGGTGACAACAGAGCATCTCCCAGCACGACCACGACCAGTACGCAACACCAACACCAGCCCCGCCCAGGCACCTGCATACCCAAGTTTACCCACCCATCCACCTGAGCCCCTTCACACACACACACCTGGCATCTCATGTTCCTTGTCCAGCAGCGCCAACATCAGCAGCTGCATCTGGGACTCGCCCGCTTGGTCGCGCCACTGGGGGGCCCCGGACGGGGAAGGGGGGAACGGGGGTCCACCAGGTCAGATAAGTGGCTGCCTGCGTTGTCGTTCCAAGCGGCAACGAAGGCAGCATCACAGCACACAGACGTATATAGACTATACTACCGAGAAACACGGTCTCTCATGACCCTGCAACAAAGCTATAGCTGCCACACTCCGTCATGTGCGCTTGCGGTCTTTGTTGGTATCAGCAAAACACACGCACGCACATACACAGCCATGTACGGAAACCTTTCCCCGTTGGCGCCACAGGCCCGGCTCTTTCCTGTCCTGTCGTACACGGATTTTGTCCCGTCCTGCCGTACATGCTTACCCAGGATAAATACATATTGAGTTCCTTTACCAATGCCCATGAACTGCGTCACACACGTCAGCCTCATACGTTCATGTCATTTCAGTTCAACACACACCTCCTGGAAAATGTCAATGATGTCACAAAGGTTGCAACCGATCATATCCGCCGAACGGAAGCCGAACAGCTCAGAGCTGGGTTGCGATACTAACAGCACCCGGCCGCCAAAGTCCGCCGTTACCACCAGTTGCTTCTCCGCCATCGCCTCGTCAGCAGGGCGCTTCTCGATCTGCATGCCCGCCAGAAAACAACAACAACACAGGTATTAAATGTACGGCAATACGGCAGTACGGCAGGACCATGTCGACATGGTGGCGATCGAGGCCCAAATAAACGAGCTAGGTCCGTGGACCATGAAGCGAGTAAGTAGTTACCCAGATACCCACCCACCCACCCATTCGTCCACCCACACGCCCACCTGGACGACGTACAGAGTCGAGGCGGTATCCGTTGCCATTGCGACGCTAATCTTCAGCCGTACTGCCACCAGGCTGCCGTTCTCATTGAGCATGTGAACCGCTTGACCTGCCCGGCAGCTGGTGGGGGGAATGGCAGCGGGGGGATCCTGCACCCACCGTGTACAACGCAGGCAGCACCCCTCACGCGCAGCAGATACAATAAGTTCTTAGCAGGTGTTTGAGTTGAGACGAATGGAGGCGAAGACGCCGAACAGATGGATGTGGGAGGATAATGCAGGATTGGACGGAGGTCAAGAGGAGAGGAAGAGAGGATATCTACGTGCATCCGTATATGCGGTGGTTCGTGAGTAAATATAAAGCCACGGCGCAGTCTTTTACCATCCCAGCTCTGACACGCCCCGTTCCCGTCCCACCCTCGCCCACCTCGTCCCCAACCCCAACCCCAACCCTTCCATGACCCACCCTAAGGAACTTCGAGTGAAGTGTATTGTACGGCGGCGGTAGCAGCTGGTCCAGCCTCATCGTGGCCAGCTTGCGCATCGGGTAGCCCAGCAGGGTGGATACACCGCAGGAGGCGAACCGCATTCGCATGTGGGAATCTACCACTATCAGGGTGCCCTCGCGGCCGTCGGTGCGGTTGCAGTTGAGCACCAAAATGCGTTGGGCCTCGGTGCCTGCAGTAGGTGGTATGCGTAGGCAGATGTGGAGTCCAAGCTTGGATGAACCTTAGGATAAGCTTGGCGTGCGGGTGTTGTGCCGCAGACCTTGAGCTATGCCGGTTACAGTACTATTTTGCGTTTGATGATAGTAGTGAGGAAGGAAGAAGTCCCGCAGCCCATAAAATACAGCAATAGACCGCAATAGCGGCAACCCACGATCAACAGGCTCGCATGACCAACAATCAGCAACGGCAGCCCCACCCTTGCGATGCCCGCCTTGGTCCTCAACAGTACAGCCCAGCACGGGCAAGCACAGCAGAACGCAGTTATATGTAGGGCCCAACATCCCCCAATACACACACGCATGCATGCACACACGCACACCTACCCTCGGCGGACATACATACGCACCTGCCAGCCCCACCGTCACATCCACAGGCACAGGGTCCAGGTAGCGGTGCTTGAACAGCAGCTTGAGGGTTATGCTGCGAGCCAGGAATTCCTCAGGAGCCGCCTCCTTGCAGCGCGCCATCAGTCGTTCGACCTCCCCCTCGTCGTCACACACCAGATTGCTCAGCGGCCTACCCACCTGGGGGGTTTGAAATTCTGGTTTTAGGTGGTGACTGTGTGTGTGTGTGTGTAGATACGGCCCTAGGACGGTTTCTCTTCAGGACGTCCTAGGCATGGCTTTACACCCTGCCTACCGGGGAACAAATTCTAGTGCTCGAATCGACACCAGCAAAACGCTATCATGTACATCAGCCTACCTCCAGCTGCACCCCAGCCTCCAGCTTAGCACACCCAGCAACACACCGAAACCCTGGGTTTGGGCTGTGGAAGCAGTGGTCGTGCTGGCTCCACAGGGCCCCCACGTCTTCCTTAACCCTCAGAACTACCCACCAAGTCCCCCTCCGATATTCCGCAAAGTGAGGCGAACTGCTGATCACCGCATAGCACGACCCCGTTGGGCGCAATCCAGGCTCGGACCGTTAGCGAGTTGGTTGGAAGAGGACGCGCGACACCCAGGAAGATGCTGCATTGGTGAGGAGTGGGAGGAGAGAGAGAGGAAGCAGGACAGTAGGAAAGCAGCGAGTGAGGAAGGGAGGGAGGGGAAGGCATCGGAGAAAGCAGGGCCACGCTGCAGTGATACAGCCTCTGTTGAAGCTGCTATGACTACTGCTACTGATGGTGCTGTTGCCGCGCCTCTGTTTTTGGTGCAGCTGCTACTGGTTTTGAACTTTGTGAGCCGCACAAATCACAACGAGCTCGTAGGAGGGGGAACAATCAGAACCCTGGTTCGAATCCGCGCTCGTCCATACCAGGAATAATGCATGCAGGTTGAATCAAGACATGGGGCTGGAAAAGGCAAACAGAACAACCCGCAATAGCTACGTGCAAATATACCCAATGCACGCGGCCAGTGTAAGTGGCTGGGTTGAAGGTGTCCCGGAGAGGCGGCAGGTGGTGAAATGTAAGGCGCCGGGGTGGGCGAGGCGTGTGGGATGCCCCGCCCGGCATGCAAGACGGTACCGACGAACACATCAGCGAGGTGGACCTCACCCACCTGTCCGCACCGGCGCCGCTCATCCTGGTGACACAGAGGGCCATGGGAAACACGTAGCGCTCCTGAGGAGAGCGGGAGGAAGTGGAGAAGGGTGGTGGGGGTGGGGGGGTTGGAAGAGTAATTCAGGAGCGGTCCATACAGCAGGGAACGGACGATGATACCACTCGGCAGGATGGTAGCCGTGCAAAACACAGCTAGCGGCGGTGGTGATGGGCGCTTGCAGCAGCGACGCTAACCAAGACACGTGCATGCGCATCATCGCCCCACATGGGCCCCCCCTTTTTGCATCCCGCTGCATGGTCACTGGTCCATCCAAGCGCTCTCCAGCACTAGTCCGCCAATGGTCATCACCTTGTGCAGCGCCACCACCTCCCTCACGGTGTCCAGGATGTGCGGCTCACCACCCCCGGAGTAGCGAGCCAGGTAGCCGCTGTGGCGCTGACTGAAGGGCTGCGGCATCAGCAAATTCACATTGGCCCCCTCCAGCTCGGACTTGGGGTAGCCGAACACTTGCTGGACGGCCTGGCGAGGGTGTGCGTGTGCGCCAAGATTTGGGTTAATGCGTTTGGGTGCAGGATGGCATGTATGGGTACATGCAGACCGCATTATTATGCCAACGCCAGTAAGGCAAGCCATGCAATCCCACAACAATCCCAGGAGGGCGTTTAAGAGGAAATTCACAGCGGTGTACGGCATCAACGCCAGCCGTATTATTATATCCATTCGTACATACCTGGCTGACCATCATGATCGTCCCTTCGGCGTTGATCACCACCACTGCGTCGTCCTCCATGGACATAGACGTGAGGAACTCGGGCTTGCTGCTTGAACCCTGCTTTTGTGAGAAGCAGAAATCAACAAGTAGTCCGATAGCATCCGGAAGATGTTGCCCATTTACACGTCCTGCAGCTGGACGCCCTGAACCTCACATAGGCAAGCGCCCTGCAACGCAACTGCAATGCCTTTTCCGCCAGTGCTGCATAGCCCCCTCTAGTTGCTGGCCAAGGTGCACCTCCGGCGCACATTTAGCAGCCCCGTACGTCGTACGCTATGACTTCCTTCCGTGAAATCGTACAGTGCCGTACCTGGATGTTGCTGAGGTCCAGGTTGAGGATGGCGTCGCCGCCACCATTGCGACTGGCCTCATTGTATGCCTTGGAGGCAGCCACCGGGTCGTGTTTGACATCCTCCAAAAATTTGCCATAGCAGCGCAGCAGCTTTCCGTTGGTGGGATAGCGCTCTAAAACCCTAGGGAAGTGGCAGATGCGTGTGTGTGTGAGGGGGGAGAAGGGGGAGAGTTGGCCAGGTAGGGGCGGCCACGAGGGACAGCGAGGATTTGCTCCGCGTTGCAGGGCAGGGGTACGTTCGTACCCACCATCGTGCCACGTCACCATCACCGCCTACCTGCGGTAGACCTGGTGCGCTCGCTCAGTCCCCGACTCGAGTGCATTGAGCGCCCTGTCCACCTCCACCACCCGCAGGCAGGTCTTGAGCATCAGCATCCACAGCTCAGCTTGGAGCATTAACACCTCCTTGTGCACCCGTAGTACGGCCCTGAGTACGGCATAGTGTGGAAGATAGTATTTGCATCCAATCGCAAGGACGTGCACATACATGCGATCGAGGGGCGGGTTGAGGCAGCTGGGATGGAATGATTAAGTGTTGGTGGGGACGCCTTTCAGATGGTGATAGTAACACACCACTAGCAGCACAGGCCAGCACGTAGCCCGGCAGGTAGCAAATACTCTCATGCAACTAACCCATAAGCCCCTTTATCCTGGGGGGAGCATCATGCAACCCCTCATAAGGTATGCCCCTCAACAAGTGCAGCTGGCGGTGTCCATTAGTCAATCGGTCCTCAAACGATACCTCACAGTATATGTTACCAGTAGCGCGCTCCTGCCGCACCACCACCACCACCACCACCACCACCACCACCACCACCACCACCACCACCACCACCTGAAATTTCGTCGAAACTCAATGTACGCCTGGAGGTCCATCCCGCAGTCTTGGCTGTCCTTAAGCCGTTTGCTTGCCTCCCCAGTGCAGAAGATCTACATACATATATGCATACAGAGACAGACGAGACAGAGTTGCATACTAGGAGTAAAAGTGGCCATAGGTGAAGCATTACCCCCCCACCTGTTCCCCACACCACCACAATCCTCTGGAAGGGATGCACGCCAGCCTAGACGACTGTTGTATTTGCACCCAAAACCCGAAACATGAATCCATGGTGATGCGGTCCAGATGCAAAGCCCCACGCACGCACCTGGTACCTCTCCACTAATGTGGGCGTGTGGCGGGACGCCTGCTGCAGCTGCGTGCGGCTGGCGGGACCGTCCTTGCGCACCTCCAAAAGGAAGTTGGCATACAGGATGAGCAGGAAGGGCGAGTTGGGGAAGGCTTGCATGCCCGCCTGCAGGTCAAACAAGGGCAGAGAAAGGGTTTGGAGGGCAGGGCAGATCGGGAGTCAATCGGAACCAGTTTATCAGGTGAGCAGCCTCTGCAGCCTCTGCAGGGCCACAAGGCACATACAGAAGCCACACACTCACACAGACCTTGCCTCGTCACACTTCCATTCATGCATTTTGCGCATGCAATTTGAAGCAACACACGAAAATAGAAAAACCGAATAGACACTCGCAGAATAAACCAAAGCAATCATGGCAAAACGACGTGACATCTCCTTAAGCACGCTGCACACGCACGTGCACACCTTGATGATGGTCTCCCCAAGTGCTGCCGCCCCCTCGTCAATCGTCCCATCGATGGTGAACCTCCGCATCACCCGAGATAGCAGCTCCACCTCCTGAACGCTGTGGAACTTGTGCACCTTGGCTAGACGCATCCCGGGCGCGAGGCCCTTAAACTTGCGCGCTGGCCAGGCCGCCCACCAGGCGTGCACGGTGCACGCTACCCAGCCGACGGCCACGGTGGGGAAGATGCCGTACAGGACGAGTAGCGTGACATGGCGGCGGTGATGAGCTGAGTGGTTGTCGCCAAATGCCAGATATGCCAGCAGTACGGCGACGTACAGTATACCAAACCAGAGGCTGCACCACACTATGTTCACGAAGGTCCGGTAGAAGGGCAGCTGTGTCGAATAATAATAATAGTGTAGGGATGTCCAAACGGGCAAAAAGTAAATGGCAACTCCAGAGTAGCTAACATCAAGGGCCTTAAGAAAAGGGAAAGCATGTGGGTAGTTTTACCATGAGCACGATGGCGGTACTGGGCGGTAGAGTTCCGACAATCAACCAACCCCTTACCAGTCGGTAACCCTACCGAACCGGTCGGTGCTTCGGTACCCGGGCCGGTGGGGTAACCGACGTAACGAGCTAACGACCCAGTAACAGGGGGTTCACCGACCAGTAAGGTTACCGGTCGGTAAGGTAACCTGGTCGTTATCTCGAAATATCGGTCACTCTACCGAAGCGACCGGTTGGGTTTTAGCTAACCGGTCGGTTACCGACCCTTTTATGCCATAGGGCCACCAGTCGCCCAAATGCCTCTGCGGAACACCTTTTCTCTTTCGAAACACCTGCTAAACGTGCGATCCCCTACAGCAGCCCGCCCATCCTCAAGAGCTCCCATCCAGCTTCCACGCAACCCGGCCCCACCCAACTCCTAATGAAGACCAAACAACCCAGACACCCGCCAGCTTCGCTTGATCGGCCCCTTCCCGCACGTCCCACCCGACACAACCTCCACACACATACATACACACATACATACATGCATACATACATACATACATACATACATACATACATACATACATACATACATACATACATACATACATACATACATACATACATACATACATACATACATACATACATACATACATACATACATACATACATACATACATACATACATACATACATACATACATACATACATACATACATACATACATACATACATATGTATGGATGAGACCAAGCTTGACTAAGCTGCTACTATGACCGTCGGCCAACCGCGGCCGTGGCCACCGACAGCGACCTCAATTGTTTGAGCGTAGTTATGGTTATCTAATTAGCCTGAAAATGTCGCAGAGGCGACCAGCAGTGGCTGTTAGCCGCGGCAATGTTCAAAATGGCCGCCAGCCGACCTCAGCCGCGAGACCGCAATCCATACCGACCAAAAAGATAAAGGCCGTCAGTGGCTTTTACGGAACAAATGAAGGCTTGGCTTTCTACAGAGCCACACTAGAACTGGAACCGATCGTGGTGACAGTCCGGTGGCCAGCGGGCTCAGATACGGGCGACATCATCGCGCAAATATACGGTCCATTAGGACTTCAAATTCTGGCAACAATTGGCCAAATCTTCCGCAGCAACCAGGAGTTCAACCGTTGGGGAGGCCCTCGCATTCAAAAACGGTTGCTTTATCCGATGGGAAGGGAACGGCACATTGTGATGGAACTCTCCATCCTTGTGCCCAAAGGAGGTTTAGCAGCGTTGACAGCGACCAGGCGCATCGTTAACGGGCGATTGCGCGTGCCTGGGGTGCAATTGACCCCGAACATGGAGCCGATGGAAGTGGAGCTGCTGGTGAAGAACCAGCAACAGGCTAAGCCCATTGTGTGGGAGGTGAGAGGCGTCCCGGTCGGCCTCAGCTGTCAGGGCACGGCCGACTTCCTCACCCGGGCATACCGGGCAGACCCCAGTCCNCAGGACGTGACGGAATTCTCGCTCCTGGCCCCCACGACGATGGCCGACACGTGGAGGCTGGAGCTTACCAGCAATCGCGGCCTTCCGCGAGAACTCCCGTTTGAATACGGGGAGCCATCGGAGGCGTGCCACCAGAAGGGCACCCTTCAAGCGATCAGGAAGACCCCCCTGGAAGGGGAACCTTTCCTGATGCCCCAGCCACCCCCGCGAGCAGCACTCGCCCAGCAGCAAAGGGGAGACGGGGCGGCAACAAGCACCCGCCCAGGCCACAGTGGGCAGGGGACGGGAGTACAGGGGCGACTGACCAGATTCTTGAGCCCGATGGATTTCGATGCCATCCAGAGAGACAGGGGTCACTGCTCTGGCGCAGCAGAGGGGGGGCCTGCAGGAGTTAACCCTCTGGGACCCCCCAGCGGCCCCAAGCCCAGAAGGGCGGTGGATGATGGCAGCGGGCTGAATGGAGTGAGGGGGGGCAAGGGGGACAACAGCGGCAGTGGCCCCTCTATCCCACCCCAGGGCAGTAGTGAAGGTGATGCTGAGACGAGCTGGACAGTGATGGGCAGGAAGGGGAGGAAGACCCCGGCGACGGCTGCAAAGGCTGCACCAGCAGAGACCAACCCCTTTTTGGTGCTGGCGGAGCTGAGGGGAGAGGAGGACGCCCCCACAGATGTTCCTGCTCCAACGGGGGGGAAT